TATGTTAAAAAAAAAAAAATGCAAGTAAACCAGATAGCTGTCCAACAATGGCTATTTTCATTTCCGATGGCCCAAGGTCGTACCCTTTTCTGATCTGATTATAAAGGACTCTGACAATCCACGCATTCATTATCGCTCTACTGGTTAATCTTCTAGTGGAAGTGCTGCTGGCACTGCAGACAGAAGGGGTAGTGGAGCTGATCCCCAGCCTGTGCAGAGAGCACATGCTCTCCCAAGCCCAGGCCTCCCCAGTCCAGCTCAGGTGCCCTTCCTCGGAGCCCCCACCACCTCCACTCCCTCCACTGAAGCCCCTCCTCAGTGGACTGAGGCTCAGGGCAGGACCCCCTCTCTGCTTGGTCCTCCTCTGCCAGGCAGTAGGGAGCACACATGCAGCACCAGCGCCACAGTCCACTCCCTGCTGGGGGCCATATACTTCAGGCTGTCCTCATTCCCAGTCTGCAGATCCTCAGAAAGACCACGTCCCAGACACAGAAGAGGGAGAACTCACCAGGCCCCACTCCTTTCAATCACCCCCCACGATGAGACCAACGGTGCTTCACCAGCCTCAGCTCAGCTCGGCCGCACAGGGTGGCTCTGAGGAGCTACCTGCAGGCTACATCATGTATCAGTTACGGATCTTAATCGAAACTGTCAGAAACACGCCTGGAAGTGGCTGGGCAAGAAGAAGAATTCTGTCTCTGGTGTTGGCTGGACTTCCAGGAGAAGGGAACCACCAGACTGCCCCCTCCCCCTCCTTGGCGCTCTGCCTCTGCAGTTCTCAATGTGACATCACTCTTTCTCGCAGGTCCTCTGCAGCCTCAGCTACAGGCAGCACGACCAAAAGGGAGCTCTTCCCTAAGTGCCCATCTGAAGATACCCAGAGGCAAACCTGTGTGCCTGCCAGCCAGTCTAGGGTTGGGGTATCACCCTCACTGGCCACACAAGAATGCCGGGCTGCGTGGAGATGTGGAAGGAGAATTTGTCAAAAGAGAAGAGGTACGTTTTTCAGAAGATGGTGGAAAGACTCCAGGCAGACAAAGTAAGAGATGTTCTTTGTGTGAGTGCTCATTAAACTGTACCTTCAACATAATAATAATTTTACAGAACGATCTCCAGTTCAGATTCCACAAAACAGGTACACTACAAAAATAATTTGGGGAAGTGACACAAGAGCTAACCTAAAAACTCAAAAAAATTAAAGTCACAGCTGCTAACAGAAGAACATATCTACAGCAAAGAAGCTGGAAAGACATAATCTTAGAATAAAAGACAATCCTTTTAATCACATCAATTTAGCTTTATGGAAAAAAGCCCCATTTTCCCTCATTATCTCAGTTTGACCAAGAGTGGATAAAAACTCCATCCAGATGCGATGCCAGGCAGGCCCTGATGAGAATCTGGGCCCCACTGGCCCAGGGCGCCTTCGGCCTTGTCCACAGGCTGTGTGAACTTGCCCCGGCCCTGCTGCAATTCATGCCCACTCCTCCCCCCATTGCAGCCTGGGTGCCTGGCTCCCAGGAGGAGCTCAGAGAGGGCATCCGCCAGCCCAGCAGCTACCAAACAGACACAATCTTATATATGCTGGAACACACACACACAAGCACACATGCAGTTTAAAATTCATACTCTCCCTGTTTTCAAAAGATTGGGGTAATTTTACACACACAACACAGTCATTAAGGAGGATGCTGCTGCTGCTGCCAAGTCACTTTAGTCGTGTCCGACTCTGTGCAACCCCATAGACGGCAGCCCACCAGGCTCCCCCCTCCCTGGGATTCTCCAGGCAAGAACACTGGAGTGGGTTGCCATTGCCTTCTCCACATTAAGGATGAGATTCAGGTAATGATGAATCTGGACATCGGGGCCACAAAGCTGAATTAGGTACAACCTTCACCTCAAGGAGTTTCATAAACTGGGCAAGCTGGGAATTACTGACATAAACCACCATCTAAATTAAATTTCTAGTCAGTTTCTTCCATTTCTATGCTTAATAAAAGCTGAAGATCATTTTAATATAGCCTCGTTAAGTTCAACAGAACACACAGTAACTACACACAAATAAACAATTGATTGTATGTTCCAATTTTCATCTGCTTATTGAATTAAAAGTTCAAACTTTGGGCAGCTGAAGTAGGATATCCTTGAACCCAAGGCACCATGCCAAAGCATAATGTCCAATACTACATCTCTGAACAATTACTTCCTTGTTTCGTGTGCCTATGCAAAGCCACAGGTGACTTGGTCAAGTTTCCTCTTTTAAACTATAATGAAGGCTAGAACTGTACTATTAAGCTCTCTTAGTAAAAGCCCTAAGCTAGCCCAGGTCTTAAAATCACCAATGCTGCAGTTACTCTCCACGTGTCTCCCAGGATTCACAGGTGGAGGGCAGGTGGCTGCAGGCCAGAAACAGAGCAGCAGAGATTCTAGCGGGAGTCAGAGATGCAACCTGAGAGGTGAAGCAGGGTGGGGTGGCTAGTGAGGAAGAATGGGAAAGATGTGAGAAGGCCAGGAGAAGGTATGAACAGGAGGGGGAAGGAGGGCAAAAGACAGGCTAATTTAGGACTAAGTGTTCTGTGAGGAACAGGTTAGGTGCAGACAGAATGCTGGGTGTCAAGCCATCATGTGTGCACACACAGAGCCAAAGAAAAAAATGCTACCATGGCTAAGAGGATACAGATTGAGCTGCAATCTCTAAGACAAATAAACCACTGACAGTTAGGAAATAGGTTTCCATCTTCCCCAGAAAACTCTGACTTTTTAACAGAAAGGTAAGTCTCTTGGACTATAAGGAGATTACACCAATCAATCCTAAAGGAAATCAACCCTGAATATTCACTGGAAGGACTGATGCTGGCTGAAGCTCCAATACTATGGCCACCTGATGCGAACAGCCAACTCACTGGAAAAGACCCTGATTCTGGGAAAGATTTAGGGCAGGAGGAGAAGGGGACAACAGAGGATGAGATAGTTGGATGGCATCACCAACTCAATGGACATGAGTCTGAGCAAGCTCCAGGAGTTGGTGATGGACTGGGAAGCCTAGTGTGCTGTAGTCCATAGGGTCGTAAAGAATTGGACAAGACTTAGCAACTGAACTAGTTTTTAGTTGAACTCAGCTGGGAAAAAATCCTCCTGCAATGCAGGAGACCCCAGTTCGATTCCTGGGTTGGGAAGTTCCCCTGGAGAAGGGATAGCTTACCCACTCCAGTATTCTTGGGCTTCCCTGGTGGCTCAGGGAATCTGCCTGCAATGTGGGAGACCTGGCTTTGATGCCTGGGTTGGGAAGATTTCCTGGAGAAGGGCATGGCAACCCACTCCAATATTCTTGCCTGGAAAATGCCCATGGAGACAGGAGTCTGGCAGGCTACAGTCCATGGGGTCACAAAGAGTTGCACATGACTGAGTGACCAAGCACACAAAGTTCTTAGAGCTTACTGATATGTATCAACACTTTCACAAGCATATCTTAAACACAGAAGTTAATGAAAATAAAGTTCTATCATCTGTAGCTAAGACCATGTGGTTTATTAGTGTCAAATCAAATCAAGTATTGGAAGCAGGGAATCAAAGAACAGGGCCTGCTCAGTCAGAGCAAAAGGAGCCAAAGTTCAGTAGTTCACAGGCTCTCATTCAGGATGAGCACTGCTTGCCGCAGGGACATTTAAAAGACCAGAGTGACTAAGGCCAAAACAGATCACGCACAAGGAGCAAAGGTTATTTGTTGATTCTATTCTTCACTCTGGGTACAAGTGCAAAGGATTACTTAGTACATGCAGTTTGGCTAAAAAGCATTAACAAAATAAAGAGAAAATATTTATAACTAACTTCCATAATTAAGTTTGAAACAATTTTAAAAGTTAACATCTGTAACATGGAACCAAAGGTTGATGTTTTAAATTTGTTTCTTCCTACTTAACATTTAAAATTTTACAGCACAAAATTTAAAGTTTCCATATTTGTTCAGTTACTACTTATAGAGCTTTAGTCATTTTACCAGATTTAGCATTAAGTAATGACTGAGATTTTAAAATGTCGATAGTAGCCACACAGACTGGTATTTGATTGCATTTCAGATTTAAAATGGGCTCTCCTGGTTACTTTCCCCAGTAATCGAGTTAAATAACTGATTTTTCCTGTCATATGATTACGATACAATTCAAACTACCAGTCAAATATCTTATATGCGTTAAAACTAAAGTGTGTAACAATTTACCATCAATTCTTACTGACACCTCTAAGGTCATTTAAGGTTAATTTTGTTCTAAACCAGTGCTTCTCCACAAGGAGAAAGTTTTGTGCTTGGAGCTCCCCTGACAAAACAGTTTAGAAAGACATTCTGGTTCTCACAAAAGGTAGAGGAGGGGGTGCTCCTAGCATCTGGGGGTAAAGGCCAGGAATGATGCTGAATAGCCCGCAATGCACAAGACAACTCTAAAACAATGACCAGGCCCAAAATGTCTGGAGTGTCTCTGTTGGGAAACTCCATTATAAATTGAAACAAGGAGATTTGCAAACACAGCCAGCTGACACCTTCAAAAAAACAACTGCCAAGTAAGTGATTCAAAGTGCACTAAGCTTTGTTATTAGTAGAGACTCAGACATAATAAAAGTTGCTTTTCATACTATTGAAATGATGATCTGACTATTAACCACAAACGCATGAAGTTGCAGATGGGCATGAAGAGCAGTGTCCTCTCACTACCTAAGCAATTCATGACTGCTTAAAAGAAGAACATTTCAGGAGACAAAAAGAAAATGAGGTAATGACATTCTTGACAGTTTTCTATGATGCTTCAATTTTCAAGGCCAAACATCAATTAATCATTACTTTTTGTTGCTGTCCTTTAGTTCTAACCAACTTTCCCCCCCTCCACAGTTAGATGTTTAACTCACTCAAGTTTAAAGTAAATGAGTAAAGTTAACCACATGATACTAGTTGGTAAAATAATCTTAGGCCAGTATCTGTCAAATAAAGTATCTGCCAGAACTCTCATGCTTACCTGGCAAAAGAACGGGCTCCAGTTTTTTAATCTTCGGTTCCGAATTAATCTTATCATCAGTCTGAAACACATTAGCAAAACAAATCAAAATCAAAATTCTGCCCCCTCATTCCGTGAGAGAAGGCAAATTTTTTTTCTAAGAGATGACACACGCGACAGGCACGTATCCCCCCACTTAAATTCTTTCACATTTTTACTAAACTCCTGTAAAGATCTGTTTGTGAAGGTATTGGGAGTCGGACCATAAAAAACACTATTGCAAAACCGCCTGAGGCGCCTCCAGGTGTTCACATTTACAACAGGTAGGTGACCCCTCCCTCTAGAAGCCCGCAGGCGATGCAATCCCGCCGGCAGTCACAGCATGGACAGCCGCCGGGCAAAGGGCTAAGTAAATCCAGGTCCGATCGCTCCCTGGGGTTCCGTCTCCGAGCCGACCAAGGCTGCGGCGGAGTTTTGCAAGTTTCCACCGAGTCGGCTGGGCTCGCTGGAAGGTGGCTTCCCCTCAACGGAATCCGGGGCCGGGGTACGGAGTCCGGGACAGCCTCCCGGGCCGGCCCGCGCGCGGCTCCCCGGAAGCGCGATGAGAGGGCGTAGCGGGGAGACGGCTGTTTACCTGGGGCGGCGGCAGAAGGTAGGACCTGAAGGTGGGTCTGGGCGGCTTGAGCGAGAACATGATGCGGCCGCCCGCTCGGCCCGGCCCGGTCGCGGCCCGGGACCCGCCTCCCGACGCCCGCGGGCTGAGAGCTCCCGGTGCGATTGCCCGGGCTCGGTCTGCAGCCAGCCGGGCCGGGCGGGCTGACGGGCGGGGACACGGCCGAGCGCCCGCCCGAGCGGGGAGGAGCCCGGGCCCATCCCCGGAAGGGGCCCGGCGCCCCGCCCCGCCCCGCCCCGCCCCGCGAGACGGCTCGCGCAGGGCAGGCGGCCGGCCGCTCCTGGCCTCTAGGCTGCGCGGGCGCCGGAACGCGAGGCCTGTGCAGTGCGCCGCTTCCCTGCCTTCAGCGAGTGCGCCGGGGGGGAGTGAGGCCCTGGAGCCATCTTGAGAGCGCGGCCCGGGCGGGGCTGGGGGCGCTCCTACGGCGGCCGGCAGGGTCCACGGCGGCCAGGGGGACGTACGGCGGCCGGCTGGGGTCACGGGGGCGACCCGCGAGGGTCACGGCGGTTCGCGGGGACGTACGGCGGCCGGCGTGTGTCACGAAGGCCGTCCTTGGGGGTCACGGGGACGTACGGAGGCCGGCGGGGGTCACGACAGGTCCCTGGACGCCGCTTGCTTCTTCCCCAGCTCTCGCGATGGTGTTTTCCGTAGTCAGGAGGAGCCCAGAGCGGGGAAAGGGGACCCTGTAGCCCGAGATCGACCGGTCACGCCGTCTGCGGCCAGCCTGTGAGGATCGGGCACCGGGGAGGCGGCCCGGGGCAGCGGGCAGTGACCGGGATCAGACGGTCAGCGCGGTGCCTTCAAGGTGCACAGTGGGGGAGATCATCTCCCATCACCCGGTGTGTCTGTCCGTGCGTGGATCCTTGAGACTGGGGTGTCCTGCTGAATTGCGTGGGATGCTGAGGCTCTTGACAGAGGATGTTGCCAGGCAACCTGAACGCCTCCGTTTACTTTAACTTCTACCCTCTTTATTAAACTCCAGTGTGGACAAAGATATTAAGCAAGTTACCTTCCTTTCTTTTCTTGGCTATCCTCACGTGTAAAAATACCAGTGAGCAGATAAATTATCAAAAAGCCTAGCGAGAGGTAGACCTTAACTGTTTGGACCAAATAGGCTATGGACCCAATAATTGTAAAGAACCAGCTACCTTCAGCTTATGAAGCCCAGAGCATTTCTGAACTCTAGCGTGTTTCCGAACTGGAGCCGACTTGGGTGGAAGGGGACTGGTGATGTTGTTACATTTTGGTAAATTATTAATTGAAACTAGGTTTTTCTTATGTTTTGAAGAATAAATCCCTAATCTAGCATTTTATAATTAATGCCATAGGGAAGCTCCAATGAGACCATCTGAGTCACAATCATTCTGACAAGTGTTCCTAATGGAAACACTAAAAAATTTAAGGGGCTTCCCTTGTGGTTCAAATGTCTGTATAGTAAAAGCTATGGTTTTTACAATAATAGTCATGTACTGGATGTGAGAGTTGGACCATAAAAAAGGCTGAGCGTGAAGAATTGATGCTTTCAAGTGTTGGTGCAGGAGAAGACTCTGGAGAGTCACTTGAACAGCAAATCAGTCTCACTGGAGGGACTGATGCTGAAGCTGAAGTTCTAATACTTTGGCTCACTGATGGGAAAAGACAACTCATTGGAAAAGATCCTGATGCTGGAAAAGATTGAGGGCAAGAGAAGGTGGTGACAGGATGTGATGGGTGGATGGCATCACCAACTTAATGGATATTATTTTGAGCAAACTCAGGGAGATAGTGCAGGACAGGGAAGCCTGGTATGGCAAAGAGTTGGGCATGACTTAGCAACTGAACAACAACCTGGTGGGTCAGTAGTAAAGAATCCATCTGTGATGCAGGAGATGTGGGTTCAATCCCTGGGTCAGGAAGATCCCCTGGAGAAGAACGTGCTACCTACTCTAATATTCTTACCTGGGAAATCCCATGGAGAGAGGAGCCTGGTGGGCCACAGTCCATGGAGTCAAAAAGAACTGGACAGACTTATTGACTAAACAACAAAATTTAAAGAAGACTTCAAAATTTACCTTTAAAAAAAAAAATTATCTTGGATCCAGAACCCCAGTGATCTTTCTGGTTAACTTGTTTGAGTGACATATGATTCCATTTTGCTCGGGTACTATAACTGTACTTTAAAATATCAAGTCCATTGAGTTATAGATATTACAGATACTGCTGTACACATACATTTAACACCTTTTTATGAATTGTCTGTGATTCATCTGCATTAAATAGTTAAAAAAAAAAAACTAAACTCAGAAAAAATAGATCATATTTGTGGTTCCCATAGGCAGGGGGTGGGAGGAGAGGAGAGAGGTGGTTAAAAGCTACAAACTTCCAGTTATAAGATAAGTACTAGGGAAATAATATAATACTGCTATGTGTTATATGAGAAAGTTAAGAGAATAAATCCTAAGAGTTCTCATCACAAGGGGAAAAAAAGTTTTTCTCTCTCTCTTTACTGTATTTATATAAGATGATGAATGCCAATTAAATTCACTGCAGTAATCATTCTACAGTATACGTGAGTCAAATCATTAGACTGTACACCTTAAACTTGTGCAGTGATATATGTCAATTATACTTTAATAAAACTGGACAAAATGGATTTTTTTCCCACACATGCAACTGTGACTTGGGCTTTGCCATACAAGTTTTAGGATCTACAACTCTATTAAGTGACCATACAATTAAAAAACCGAAAAATTGATTTCCAGATTTGTCTTGACCTACCCTAAATGTTCGGACCTTTTCAGATATCTAATTGTGTTAGTGTGCTTGGGTTGCCCTAAGGAAACGTCACCGACTGGGCAGCTTAAACAGCAGTTTATTTCTCACAGTTCTGGAGGCTGGGAAGCCCAAGATCAAGTAGGAAAGATGGAATTCTGGTGAGAGCACTGTGGGCTTGCAGACAGTGAAGAGAGCTGAGCAGTGGGAGGTGGATGGTGGGTGGGTGCAGAGTGTCAGAACTCACTCTGGTGCCTCTTCTTTTTTCAAATTAATTTGTATTGGGGGGTACAGTTGATTTACAATGTGTTAGTTTCTGCTGCACATGAATCAAATCAGCCATGTGTTTACATATATCCCCTCCCTGTTGAGGTGGGCCTCCCTCCCACCTTCCCCATCCTACCCCCTAAGTCATCACAGAGCGCTGAGCTGAGCTCCCTGTGCTATACGCCAGCTTCCCACTAGCTATCTGTTTTCACATTGTAGTACATATGTGTCAGTGCTCCTCTCCCAATGCATCCCACCCCTCCATTGTGTCCACATGTCCATTTTCTATGTCTGCGTCTCTATTCCTGCCCCGCAATGGATTCATCTGTACCATCTTTCTAGATTCCACATATATGCATTAACACACAATGTTTGTTTTTCTGACTTACTTCACTCTAAAACAGTCCATAGGTCCATCCACATCTGCAAATGACCTAATTTTGTTCCTGGTGCCTCATCTTACAGGGGCATTCATTAATCCTGTTGGATTAGGATCCCAGTCTTTATGAACTCATTTAACATAAATTACCTCGTAAAGAGGTATCTCCTATCCAAATACACTCATTGAATTTCAGCTTTAGCGTCTGAATTTTGGGAGAATCAGTGCAGTTCCAAGCACGAGTCTTGGTCTCCTTGGTACTCTGTACCTTTGAAATAGCTGCCTATCTCCTTCTTTGTCCCTAATGTCACTCTTTTGTCCTGTTTTTCTGACTCTGTTTCTTGTATTGGTTCTTCTATTGTGCGGGATAGGAGGATAGAGGGCAGGAAAAGAGGGTGACAGTGGATAAGAAGGTTGGATGGCATCATTTGACTCAGTGGACTTGAATTTGAACAAATTCCAGAAGATAGTGAAACACAGGGAAGCCGGGCATGCTGCCGTCTATGGGGTCGCAAATAGTTGAACATGACTGAGTGACTGAACAAAAATGGTGGGGGATAGTGGTATTCCCTACAGACCATTTCCTTCTCCCTGTGAAGAGGGGAACAAAAAGCACTAACATTTTGTGAATACCTATTATGTGCTAGGTAATTTATATATTCATTCAGTCAGTTAGCAAATTTGTATTGATTGCTACATGTGTGTGTGCTTTAGTCAATCATGTCTGACTTTTTGACCCCATGGACTGTAGCCTGCCAGACTTCTCTGTCTGTGGGATTTCCCAGGCAAGTGGGATGCCATTCCCTTCTCCAGGGGATCTTCCCAACCCAGGGATCAAACCTGGGTCTCCTGCATTGGCTGGCAGATTCTCTACCATCTGAGCTACCAGGGAAGCCCTATTGATTGCTAACTCTGTGTTAAAAACTACTTGGGTCACTAAGAAGACAGTTTCTACTTTCCTGGCACTTTCATTACAGGTGGAAAGATAATACAAAATTAATGTATAACAAGTGCCATGAACTGAAAAATATGGGAAGAGGATGAGGGCTTTTTTTTCAATGGGAGATGCAGTGTGATCGGGGAAGGCCTCTGATCAGATGACATTTGAGCAGACAGAAACTGAAGGGAGTGAAGAAGCACGCCAGGTGGAAATCAGGAGGAAGAGGAGAGAGTCATACAAATGCCCTGGGTTGAGATCCTGCCTGGTGTGTTCAGAGCAGCCTAATCCAGTGGGAGAAGAGGTCAGAGAAAAGCAACCAGCCAGATCACATAGGTTCTGAAAGTTTAGGTGCTTTTGCGATGCTTTGAGTTGAGAATGACTTGATCTGACATTTTAAAATAATCACACACACACACACCCCCCACTGTAGAGGTACATAGTGGTAGAAGCTGTGAGACTGAATAGAACAGGACCTTACATTCCTTCTGCCCCCACCTCCCATGCCCTAAACCTGCCTCTTGCCTGTAGAAAAACTTGAATCAAAGAATATATTTAATCAGAGAAGTAAGAAAATGTAGAAGAAAAGGAAAACAGTCAAACAGGACAAAATAATAAGTTTAGTCATTAAGCACAGTCAAGGACCTTCAGTTCCTCCTCGGGGGCTATAGATAATACTCTGAGCCATATCCTGTGAACTGTCTTCAGTCAGTCAGTTCAGTCACTCAGTTGTGTCCGACTCTTTGTGACCCCATGGACTGCAGCATGCCAGGCTTCCCTGTCCATCACTAACTCCTGGAGCTTGCTCAAACGCATGAACTGTCTTACAGGTACTGTAACCCCCACCAGGCGGAAGAGGTTAACTATCAATACGTGACAACCAGACTGTGTTCATGACCTTAGCTGCCACAATTCTGAGAACTGTCCTCAAAGAAATGGGAACAAACCAGCTCCAGGACTGAAGATTAATTGTACTCAAAATGATCAAGATAACACTGGTCAGATCACTGATGACCAATTTCAAGATGACTGTCAGAGCTGCCTGTGCTGTTTCTGCATGAAGCCCCCTCCTTCTGCCTAGAAAAGCCCTTGCCCACTGATTGTCAGTGGTGGGAGTCAGCCTTTGAACAGGAGTCTCCTCTCCCCCTGACCCCCTGCAACGTTGCCAGCTTCTGAAATAAAGCAAACTTCCCACCAACCTTGCTCCTTTACTGACTTTAAAGCAGCCAACAGCCAGACCCCACTTTCATTAACAATGCTAGTTAGGAACTGTTAGAAGAGTCCAGATAACAGAAAGTGATGGTGGAAGCAGTGGGGGAGAGGTAGTGTATGGTGGTTATGTACAAGGAAATGGCAACACACCCCAGTATTCTTGCCTGGGAAAATCCATGGGCAGAGGAGCCTGGTGGGCTATAGTCCATGGGGTCGCAAAGAGTTGGAACACGACTGAGCAACTAAACAACAACAACGTCTACAAAACTATGCCATTACCTGAGTATATGGCCTTTGAAGATAACTATTAAGTCATTTAAAACATCTTTTTCCTGAGGGGAAGTTCTGAGACGATGACAACAGCAGCATAATTTTTCAGTTTCCCCAGGCAAATAGGCAAAGGAACTACAGTGCAAAACTGAAGCCCCATGGACAACATTCACCACAAATCTAAGTGAACTGGTTTCCCCAAGATTTCCAAAATATAGGTAAGTAGGAGCAAACCACAGCACTTAGAAGATTTTTGTGATATCAGCAAAGGGAATCAAGAGGCATCTGGAGAATTCCCAAATAGCCAGAAGGTATTTACTGGCCCGGCCAGTCAAGTGGAGAAGAGCAAGTAGAGAATGGTGTTTGGGAGCGCAGGGGCTCCTGGTGAGGTCTGAGGGGTGGAACTTTTGAAACTGCTAGAGGAACTCTTGAAACTGACCTACCTGGACTTCCTTTAAAGCAAAGGAGCCACACCAAGGACAGACTGCTGGGCATGGAAACAAAATGAGCCAAGTCAAGACAAAGGAAAGAGAAGGTCCAAATAAAGATGGAGGACCAGGAATCTCTGAAAATAAGCTGACTGTACAATTTCTTTTGTTGTTTGCAGGGCATGTGGGAATCTTAGTTCCCTGACCAGGGACTGAACCTGTGCCCTATGCGGTGGAAGCATGAACTCTTAACCACTGGACCCCGAGGGAAGTCCCCTGGCTTTTACAAAATTTTAATGCCAGACTGTAAAAATAAAGAAGGTTTTCTTGTGAAGTTAGAAAAGCTATCCTGACAACTGCCATCTTCGAAAAGTTTGAGAAAACCTATTTCACATAACAATAATCAAGGGAAAGCATGGAAGTAAAATCCCATAGACAAGTATTACAATAAGAAAGATCAGAATAGCATTCCTCCAGACGGTAAAAGCACACGAGGAAGACACACCCTCCATACAGATCAAAACAACGCCCAGCATTTCAAGGAGCTAAAAGACACAAAGAAAATGACAGGAAACATGAATAAATTAGGTAAACCAGAATTAGAAATGTTGCTTCCCACGTGGCTCATATGGTAAAGAATCCACCTGTAATGTAGGAGACCTGGGTTCAATCCCTGGGTCAGGAAGATCCCTAGAGAAGGGAATAGCTACCCATTCCAGTATGTCAACAGGAGACTCAGTGAGACTCCTGATAGATTCAGGCCTCACACCTGAGGCAAGATGGGAGGGACCTAGAATGGGGGGCTGTGTAATGAGTGGACAGGTGGAGAATTCTGAAGAGAAACTTTGCCTTCTTCAAACCTATTCTCTAGGGCTGTCAGAGGTTCTCCAGCTTATGCTGAGAAACACTTTTTTTTTAGGGTGTGGCAAAGGGCTGAAGAATTGATGCTTTTGAACTATGGTGCTGGAGACGACTCTTGAGAGTCCCTTGGACTGCAAGGTGATCCAACCAGTCCATACTAAAGGAAATCAGTCCTGAATATTCATTCGAAGGACTGATGCTGAAGCTGAAACTCCAACACTGGAGACTGAACTGACTGAACTGAAAGGGCTGAAAGTTTTCTGGGCATCCAAAGCAAAGAATTAGGAACGAGGCCAAATAGAATGGGTTTATCCTTGGGTCAGGTAACACAGGGAGCAGGATTGATTTAACAGTCTCGATGTAGCAATAGATAAGCAATTGTTTTCTTTATTAAATAAATGTTATCATTTATTAAATGTCAAAGTCCCATCATCCATGCAGTGGTGTAGCAGTGCTTTCTGGTAAATCCAGCCCGGTTCAGGGATTCTGATCTGGGCATGAATCTCTTCAGCCTCCAGAGTCTCTGATCAGTACCTTTAGCACAACGGCACTGTGTCTCTCTCTCTACCTCTCTCCCCAACTCTTTGCCACTTTACGGCAATGTTATGTCTGAAATTCCAAATTGAGCCTCACCTTTTGTTTTTAGCCGTGACTCATCTTTGACACTCTTGAGAACTCCCACCTCGAACATGGATCCTTTAGATTTTAGCCACAGCTTTACACAGACCATTGCAATATACAGAAGTACAATTAATTTGTATTTGGCATCCAGGGCTATATGACAAGAAGATTCACATGGGACACTATCTTTACACGTTAACAAAACTATTGGTCACCTTACGCTATTACAGTGTGATCTTTGATATAATCATGGCCTTTTTTTCTTATTGTGTAATTTGAAAACATGAAAACATAAAACAAACAAAAACCCATAAATAAGATATGATACTTAAGTCCCCTTTCCAGTCCTCCCTTCTTGCACTTCTTAGTTTGTTTTCTCTTCCACCCCTCCTTTCTCGTTTGCTTTTTCTTTCATTTCCCTTTCTCACATAGCTGCTTACTCCCTTAAGTAAACTATTGGTGACACCCAAAAGCATGTCTTTGGCTGTTTTGGTTGCCCTCAGAAATAGAGATTGTTGTAATTGTTGTTTAGTCGCTATGTCATGTTGGACTCTTTTGTGACCCCCAAGGACTGCAGCCCCCAGACTCCTCTGTCCATGGGATTTCCCAGGCAGGAATACAGGAGTGGGTTGTCATTTCCTTCTCCAGGAGATCTTCCCAGCCCATGGATTGAACCTGGGTCTCCTGCAGTGGCAGGTGGATTCTTAACCTCTGAGCCACCTGGGAAGCCCCAAAGAGATCACAGGCTCTTGCCTATTGACTAAGCAACTGGAGTCTTCACTTTTCCTGATCCTACTCCAACTAAAAAAAAAACTAAGTTTACTAACATGCTACTGAACTATTACTTAAAGTTTAGTGCCTTTACATTTTAAATTAATCAAAATGTAAATTAAATTAATGGTCAAAGATCTCTAATGAAAATGTTTTCAGAAATTGATGATGTTTAGGTGACCAAGATGGAACTCATCCATGGTTCTGATGTAAAAACCAAAGAAACAAAACACACTAGCATTCTGTTTCCGAGGAAGTCTTCTCTTGCTGAACCTTGTGGTCTTCCATTGTAATTCCAGACACAACTACTAAGTTATTTACACTGCTGGCATGTCCAGGTCTGTGTAAGTTGCCCTGGAGGGCTTTCACACTCCTAGGACGGCCATGTAAACTTTTTGACCTTGAAGATGGGAATCCCAAAGTTTGGTGTGTTTTCACAGACAGTAAGTTTACCTTGTCAGTTCTGTCAGTAACAGACAAGCGAGAGATCTGAGGGGCTGTTTTAAAAACACAGTTTTCATCTTCCTTGTCTGTGAAATGTCCACAATGCTCAGCCTGCAGTGCAGCTTCGGAGGCAACGGAAGGTATTTCCGTGCTCTGAGAACGCATAATCTTTTGAACTTCATACTTCCATTCTGTGGTCCACTGCTGAACTGTCGAGGGGCATGTTGGGTCGCCGGCTGCACCCCAGTTGTTAGCCCCACCAACCACCTTTCTTCCCCGGGAATACACAAAGCTTCTGGACTTAAGCGTTTTACAAGCACTGAACGTCTCATCAGGGTAATAGCGGCTTGTCTTTGATTCTTCCAGGGGATAAGAAATGGTGCCTTCTATCTTTGTCGTTTCCACTGTCAGCTGAGTTTCATTTTGAAAATCCGACTTGTTTTCTCCATGTATAGCATCTGTTTGACTTAAACTCGGGGAAGTCATTTCTTCTTTTTTAGGGACTACCTGCCTTTCATCACTCTCAGCAGAAATCCCAGTATCTGGACCTGACTTCGGCTCCGAGGTGCTCTTGCCGTTGTTGGAGGCAAGCTGACCTCGGTCTGGGGATGCTGGTGCACCGGTACTGGGTGGCAGGTGAAGGCTGCCCTGGCGCTCTGGGGCCAGGTACGTCCTTTGGTCCTTTTCTTCCTTCCCACGGAAGGAACCAGCTTTTTTCCTGGACGCTGCCCCCGGCGGCATGCAGAAGGAGGTATCCTCATACAACAGCTCGTCCCCGTTGAAATGGTACCTGTACAGGCTATAGCCATCAGCGCTGCTGATGCTGCTCCGCCTGAGAAGGAACGTGGCATCACATTCCGAGGAGGCCCGGGACCGCGTCTGTATCAGGTCAGACTTGTCGATTCCTGCCAGGTTTTCCAGCGCGTTCACCATTCTGTTAGATAGTTCTTCCAGTTGGGAGAGGCGAAGGTCCACAGTCTGTAGGGAAGTTTTCATAAAGTTTTCTCTTTCGTTGATTTCCTCCAACCTCATGGACATGTTTTCAACTCTGGTGAATACAAAGGGACAGGTGTATTACACCGAGATGAACTAAAGATTAAAACCAAAAATTAATGTTATTGTTGTTGTATGATTTTTTCAGGCTTTGGGGAATCATGGGACCCCGGCATATTTCTAAACGTCACACACTCCTAATATAACCGCTGAAAATTACCCGAGGAACATCAGGAAACAACAGAATTACAGTTAACACATATGGTGCTCTTTACCATTCATCACACTAAGTACCTTATATATGTATTAATACATACTCACTGAGGTCCTACTCTAGGCTTGTTTAATCTCACAGCAGCCCTATGAGGCAGGCACTCTTTTCAACACCCCCATTTTATTGATGGGGCCTCCCAGGTGGCTCAGTGGTAAAGAACCCGCCTGCCAGTGTAGAAAGACGAAGATTCGCACCTTGGGTTGGGAAGATTCCCTGGAGAAGGAAATGGCAACCCACACCAGTATTCTTATCTGGGAAATCCCATGGACAGAGGAGTCTAGCGGCTGCAGTCTATCGGGTCGCTGAAGTGTTGGTGACTGAAGAACAGCAGCATTTTTCGAGGAAATAGAGCCAAGGAGAGGGTAAGTAAACTGCCTAAGGACGCACAGCTGGCAAGCACTGGGGCTCCAGCATGAGCTTCAGCTCTGCTGTCTTAGCTGGCACATCACACTGCCTCTGATGATAAAGAAAAGACACTAACACTTAGGTTTTTGAGATTTGTGTATAGCTGTCAGCAAGGAATGGTTACAGTGACAAAATAAATACATTCAAATCCTTATTTGAAATTCAGGGGATTCAGAAAATACATTGTTAATAGTTAAGTTTAGGTTCATCACAAATTATTGTTGCTGCTGCTGCTGCTGCTGCTAAGGTCGCTTCAGTCGTGTCCGACTCTGTGCGACCCCATAGACGGCAGCCCACCAGTCTCCGCCGTTCCTGGGATTCTCCAGGCAAGAACACTGGAATGGGTTGCCATTTCAAAACTACAATGAGCTATCACCTTACACCAGACAGAATAGCCCTCATCAAAAAGTATACAAATAACAAATGCTGGAGAGGGGTGTGGAGAAAAGGGAACCTCCTACACTGTCAACGGGAATGTAAGCTGGTGCAGCCACTATGGAGAAGAGTATGGAGGTTCCTTAAGAAACTAAAAATAGAGTTGCAGTATAACCCAGCAATCTCACTCCTGGGCATATATCAAGAGAAAACCATAATTCAAAAATATACATGAACTCCTGTGTTTATAACAGCACTAAAATAGCCAGGACATGAAAACAACCTAAGTGTCCATCAACAGATGAATGGATAAAGAAGATGTGGTGTGTATAGACAAAGGAATATTGCTGCTGCTGCTGCTGCTGCTAAGTCGCTTATTACTCAGCCATAAAAGAGAATGAAATAATGGCATTTGCAGCAACATGGATGGACTTAGAGAATATCAGACTAAGTGAACTAAGTCATATGGAGAAAGACAAATACCAAATGATATCACTTATATGTGGAATCTAAAATATGACACAAATGAACCTATCTATGAAGTGGAAACAGACTCATAGACTTAGAGAGCAGACCTTGTGGTTGCCAAGGGGGAGAGAGAGTGGGGAGGGAAGTTTTGGGAGTTTCTGATTAACAGATGCAAACTAGTATATGTAGAATGTATAATCAATTAAGGTCCTACTGTATAGCACAGAGAATTATATTCAATATCCTGGGTAAGCCATAATGGAAAAGAATATGAAAAATAATATATATATGTATATAACTGAAACACTTTGAAACAGAAATTAATACAATATTATAAATCATTTATACTTCAATGAAATAATTTTTTTAATGCAAAAATAATTAAGTTCAGATTATCAGATATTTTACTTCAGGGACAACAAGTCACTTAACTATCTGAGGAATACCTATTAACTTTAAATTGTTAACTATATTTAATAATTGGTATTCCCTTATGGGATTGTAAGGAAGATCATAGCAGATTATAAATATCTGCTTTTGGATTTTCTTTTAACTCTTAGATAAGCAGGCAACAGCCTGTGAAATCATAATGTTGCCTGAACTAAAACCTGCTAAGGTTCTACTTCTGTTGGCCACATTGAACAGCTGTGCTCTGATGTGTGGGAGGGTCCTTGGATTCTATTCTTAATTCTTTTCATGGGGAGAGGACTATTTTTATGCCCCTTAGGAAACCACATCCTTTGAGCAGGAAGGATCTGGCTTCCTGGCAGTTTGCCACCAGGAGGACCGATTTCACCAAATTCACCATGTACGAGATGTGGCTTCCTCCTTTAGAAGCTTCCCTACGGGGATTAACATATACACACTAGTGTACATGAAGTAGATGATCAAAGTAGACCTACTATGTAACACCAGGAATTCTACTCAGTATTTTGTAATAATCTCTATAGGAAAAGGATCTGAATATATATATATATATATATATATATATATATATCTGAATTGCTTTGCTGTACACTTGAAACTAACACAACATTGTGAATCAACTATGCTTCAATAAATGAATAAATCAAGAAATAAATATTAAATTAAAAAAAAAAAACAAGCTTCACTACCATTGGGCTTCCCTGGTGACCCAGTGGTAAAGAACCCACCTGCCAAGCAGGAGACATGGGTTCCATCCCTGGGTCAGGAAGATCCCCTAGAGAAGAAAATGGCTACTCACTCCAGTATTCTTGCCTGGGAAATCCCATGGACAGAAGGGCCTGGTGGACTACAATCCATGAGGTGGCAAAGAGTTGGGCACAACTTAGCAACTAAACAACTACAACAACCATAGGGAACCCAAATACAGTTTCTAAGAATTCTCTCTCCTGCATTTCAGGGACCAACAGAAGAACTTTTCACTCCTAATTTTCCATGATTTCAAGTCCAACTTAATTTTCTCTGTTAAATGTCATGTCTTCTCATGCCCTTCAAATCCATTGCCGCGAGGATTCATTCTTTTTGTATTAGAAATCACATTGCCTCTGGAACAGACTTGAGATCCTTGAACAAACACAAGAGTTTTGAGATAAAGCAGCTGTGCAAACTTTTAAAAATAAATAGGCTGGTAAAACAGAGATTAAGTATCTTCTCAACTCTTTTCTAATTCTCTGCCTAACTTACCCCTTGTGTGACCTAATCCAGAGACAGCATCAGCAGCCACTCAGAAAAAGGAGACCTCAGACTCATCTGATTCTGTCTCCCTGACATCTCCCTAACCGTCCCTCCTCCCCTGTGATAAAGAGATAACCCCGCTGTGTGTAGGACGCCTCTTTAGGTGTCTCAGAAATGCCCCATCCCTACTGGAGCCACTCCCTTAGCTGAAGCTGTGGAGGAAACAAAGCCTCAAGATGTGGTTTAAGTTAAGAATATTATTTCAAAATAGATAACTGTCAAGAACCTACTGTACAGCTCAGGGCACTCTACTCAGGCTCTGCGGTGACCTAAATGGGAAGGAAATCCAGAAAAGAGGTGATATGTGTATACATATAGCTGATGCACTTTGCTATACAGCAGAATCTAATGCAACATTGGATACCAACTATACTCCAATTAAAAAGTAATTAAATAGAATGTTATTTCAAGCTTGTTTTTAAATAGCTACAGTATGGAGACAGCACATTTTATGCCAAATCAAGGGAAGTTGTATTGAGTTTTTAGAGCATGTGTAAAAGAAGGAAGAAAGAACCAGGTGACATTCACTTCTCTCTGAAATGATTTAAAAGAAGGACACTTGGAGAACTATCTCCCCTTCCAGCCTTGATTTGTAACTTTTGTAACATGATGACTTACCTGTGTTTCACAAATCTTGACATCCATATATGGAAATCAAGGGAGGGGTTTCCATTTCAGGAGGGGAAATAGAAGGGATGGAGGAAACCATTGGGCAAGGGTCCCATCTCTACACACTGAATGGCAGGAGGGCATATAAGAGAAATCCATCGTTTACGACAGAACTCACAGTGAGATACGGACTTTCCTGACTTTTGACATCTTAATTCTGTTTTCTTTTCAGCACAGAACAAAAAACTGTTCTAGGTCCACGGCCTACCCATGAAACAAAGTCGATTTCCTCTCAAAGACATATTTCCAATAATGTCATATTTCTAAGGTCATGTTTTCTCTTTAAAGCTATCATACAGTTAGTTGACTACTTTGTCTTTTGGTGTACAGTTCTTTTTTTTTTTTTTTAATGTTTATTTATTTATTTGGCTGCACCAGGTCTTGTTTGTGGCATGCGAGATCCCTGCACCCCCTGCATTAGAATCGCGGTTTCTTAACCACTGGACTACCAGGGAAGTTGCTGACCCATTTTTCATCGGATCATTGCCCCCTTATTATTGAGTTTTGAGAGTTCTTTAGATATCCTGTACACCAGTCCTACAGCAGATATGCAATTTGCATGTGTTTCCTCCCAGTCTGTGCCTCGTTTGTCATTGTCATAGCAGTGTCTTTTGTAGAGCAAAAGTTTTTTCTTTTGATGAAACCCAGTCTATCACTTTTTCTTTTCTTTATAGATGCTTTCTGTGGGTTGTGCTTTCAGTTTCAGTTTAGCTTCAAAAACTTTCAGTGAAAGGATTCCCTGAACTCTAGGTGCTAAACAGGTATAGAATGACATGACCATATGAGTAGAGGTGGTTACAGATCTTCAAATATTTTTATCTGTATCTCAGTAGATCTAATACCTAGAGGATTTAAATTTGAATCTTATACCACTAAACCTGAAAGTAGTTTAACTAAAATGCATTTTTGATAAGGCTCTGTGAATAATGTTTTCCATTCCATTCATATAATAGGCACAGCAATCTATAAATCAGTGGGACTTTGTAGTAACTTGGGCTTCCCAGGTGGCGCTAGTGGTAAAGAATCCACCTGTCAATGCAAGAGACATAAGAGATGCAGGTTCAAATAAAAAAATAGAGATGCAGGTTCAATCCCTGGGTCGAGAAGGAAATGGCAACCCACTCTAGTATTCTTGCCTGGAGAATCCCATGGACAGAGGGGCCTGGAAGGCTACAGTCCATGGGGTTGAAGAGTCGGACTTGACTGAAGCGACTTAGCATGCACCAAGAGAATACATGCCTAAGTAGGGCATAACTTTATTGACTTTCATACACACTTATCTATTAAATATAATGTCCAGGCTAGTGAGAAGCAGCTATATAGCACAGGGAGTTTAGCCTGGTGCTCTGTGATGGCCTACTGGGGTGGGATGGGAGGTGGGAGGGAGGCTCAGGAGGAAAGAGATACTAATAACTGATTCACTTTGCTCTACAGCAGAAACCAGCACAACATTGTAACGCAATTATCCTCCAATTAAAAATAAAAATAAATAAATAAACACAAAAAATATGAGGTCCAAATTCACGTTCTCTTGCTAAGAGTCCTATGTGTCTTTGCAAAGGACAGAACACAGACATTGGGAGCTCTGTAGTAAGCCAGTTATTAAAACTCATTTTTTGTACAGTCATTGTTTTAATGTGAAACGATCACCCTTTACCTGCAAGGCATCTCACAAATTATATGGGAACATTTCCTTAATGATAGAGTTAAAAGGTAACATAAAAACATAATGTTAGTGGAGCAACCAGGTCCGGTTCCTACTTGACAAGACCCATGTTTCAAGATCTCATGGTTGTCTATGTTGAGTTCTAAGACTATTCCTACCCTGTCATTTCATTCCAGGTCTATAGATCATAAAGTTGTCTCATCCAGCTGAAATTCAGCTATTTTACTTCCCATGTGCTTCTTCGTATGAGGCTGCCTTTTAAGTTTAGTAATGTAAGGAGAACACCCAGGGTGGCACCTGGTTGTGCTTACTTATGGAGTTTTTACATGTGAAAGACTAAACAAAGAATAATACTTGAGTCTTCAATCTTCTGTACTCATTCTTTTCAGTCAGCAAAAGACTGAATAGTCTCTGAAGAATATTAAGTTCTCTGGGATTCTGCCTCCATGCCACATCATTTATACACAGCAACTTGGCCAGGCACACCTCAAACCTCCTTGGATTCTAGAATTCAGGTCATCTAAATCATTAACCTTTCCTGACTGTGTTCTCTGCTCTGGCCAGACTCTGGTCAGGCCCTCAATGAAGCTCTTATTGATATCCTAGGTTGTCTCTCCCTTACTTCCAACATAGCAGTGACAGTCCCTAAGTCTTCATCCATCATGACCAGGACTCCGGGGCTAGACAGGGATAAACAGGGCTGGAGGTGATGTAATATGTTTTGCTGCCATTTGTGAACCCTGACATCACCATGGTACCCGCATTGACTGGTTCTCAGCAGCCCAGGCCCCCATCAGCCTCCCTTTTGCTGTACCTCAAGCATCATTCACTTTCTGCATCCTTGCCCTCAGGTTGAGAGGCATGGAGCCACATTGACTTGACCCAATACAAAGTCACAACTGTGTTGTCATTATTGCCACCAGGCAATCTCTAGGTTAATGACGTTCCTACCGTATTTCCCCTCAAGGTGAACTTGGATCCTCCTTCTGGCTTCATCTGTAATGTTGCTGGGCCATTCTTTTTCCCCATTCCTACTGCTTCTTCTTTCAAGTCAATTTTCCATTCATATAAAACTCTTGGCCACTCTCTAGCCTTTCATTTACTCTTGACAAAAATTGATTTTCTGGAGTGGGGACCAGGACATGAGCCTGCTTCTCTCTCTCTCTCTCTCTCTCTCTCTCTCTCTCTCTTTTTGGGAGCCCGCTGCCTGCAGGGAGTGTGGGTTCTCGTTTTGTCAGGGTCATGGGGTAAGCTTAGAAGGGGAGAAGGCAGCGGGGCCTGTGGGCTCCTGGAGCTTCCTGTGCCTGGGTGGGGACAGGGGTGTGTATTTGGCAAGACCTGATCCACATCCTCTAACACAAAATTTATTACTAATAAAGCTGATGTTTTTAATCTCAGTCCAATGTCGGCAACGATCTCTGATTTGGCTTTCAAAGTCACATAAGGAGCGAGATTGTCATTTACCAGGCACATTGAAACTCCACCACTTCATCCCACCCCTCTTCTATCATCTAAGCATCCTTGACTCTTATGAATTTATAAGATTAAGACTTTCAGGTAAGCTCTACCCTCACCTTCCCCACCCCTATGTGAACGGCCTTCTCTTCATCAGAGGAATTACCACCTCCTTTCTAAGACTGATCATTCTTTCAGGTCTTTTTGCAGTTACTGTCTTGTTTCTTTTCGTTATGTCTTGTTAGAGTCTTTCTTACCAGCATCTTCTCTTCCTGGTACTTGGGAAGAGGATACCGAAAGATCAATTGCTGATACTTTCACAGAGATCCTCTCCCCCCACCCCCTGCATTGCTCCCCAGCAGTCCTGGTTAAGGGTGAAGGAAAGCCACTTTCTCCTGGACCCCCTCCTCTTTCTGTCTCTGGCATCTACCTGTGATTCAGTCAAGAAAGCGTCAACAAAGGGAAACGAAGGGGCAGGAATGTGCTCCCGTCACCCTGAGAACTCAGCCAAGGGAAATGGAAAGCATTGTGTTTTTACTACCTCCCCACCCCCTGCCATCAGCCCCAGCACACTTTCATTCCTCTTACGTGTGCGAGGAGCCCCAGGAGGAAAATGCAATTTGGCAGCGACCTGATAATCACATTCCTGGAGCCTTGATCCAAGAATGGTAAAAATCCAAACAATGCTGGGAAAGGGAGAGGGGGCCAGGCAGGGTGAAACAGAGCACTGTTTCCATGGTAAATCACTGCCTGTGATTACAGTCAAGTAAACGTATAACTAAAATGTGGAGATTAGGTTTATAAGATGAGGCACCTTATCCTTCTCATACAGAAATCATTTTTTATAATCTCGAAAGGTTAGTAATTACTAGTAAAATAGCAAAGAAGTGTCTCAAAGTTTTACTGAAAAGTATTAAGGCCAAAAGCTGGTGTAGGTAACCCTTGAGTTTGGCTAGTAGAATTATTAATACAAGGTGACTAGGTGTAGGAGTGGGAGGGGACAGAGCCCTGTAGCTGCCCGGGGTAGCGTCCCTCCTGTGGCCTGGGGCAGAGACGGTGGCCTAAACACACACTCGGAAGACTTCACTGTGTATCATGTATTTTCTTATAATTGCTGGGGCTCCTGATTGGGAACTATGTGCTGACATAGTCTTTTGACATTGTACCATGTTTTTAAGTTTCTCGGTATATACATGTATATCAGACATGAAATACATGGTTTCAGAAAACTTTAACGCTCAAGACTCCAGGGTAGAATATCCAGTGGCTAAGACTCTGCGCTCCCAATGAAAGGGGCCCAGGTTTGATCCCTCGTCAGGGAACTAGATCCCATGTGCCATGACTAAGAGTTCTCATGCCGCAACTAAAGATCCTGCATGCTGCAATGAAGATCGAAGCTCCCCAGTGCTGCAACTAAGACCTGTTACAGCCAAAATAAAATAAATAAATAAAATTTAAAAAGAATGATGCTCCAGAATCCTCTTAGGCATGGCTCCCTCACTATGCTCATCCTTCTGTGGACATTGTCCATTATAAAGTCTTTGGAACAATGTCCTATCAATTCTCACACACTTTAACAAGCTTCCGTTGCTTTTATGAAGTGATCAAGGTTCTCAAAGACTAAAGAATGTGAGAAAAAAAAAGTCCGAAGTGTGGGTTGATAGTTCTCGTTCACCTTTGCTGGTTGCTCTGAGGTGTGCCGCTGCAGGAAAAGCAATACTACAAAGCATGGAACAAGTCACCCTCTCTGTCCCTCCCAGACCTGCCTTCCTCTGCTAATTGACTGACTCCCAAGCACAGGCAATCAGTTCACGTAGCTTGTAAGCGATGATGCTGATCTCGATGGGTATCCAGGACAGATGCCTTTGCCCTTCCTGTACCTCTGTTCCCTGAGGGTGGAAAGGTGATGGAAAGGAGCAAGGAGGGCAGTAGTCAGGATGAGGAGGTCAAGCTGGGGACAGACCACCCTTGGCTAAGGCAACAGTGTATGTCAAGGGTGGGGAGAAATGTCCCCAGCAGTTACACGGCCCTGCAGCTGATGGTTCTCCCCATTTATTGCATTGTAAAGGCGCCCACTTTGGGGTTGGGGAAGAACTGTCACGGCTTTGTTTGTTTTGGTTTGGTTTTGGCCCGGGGTATTTGCGATAAATGTCATCGTTCACTTATTTATACAATATATAAGCATCATCTGGAACATTAACACTATTTCAGGGAGGGAAACGCGTTAAAAAGCCAAAGTTGGGTCAACAAGAGAACTGCGAGTGAATGTTAAAATGAACTCGATGTCCCCTTGGGCCCTGATGCCCCGCTCCCCGCTCCCCCGGTGGCCACGCCCCAGGCGCACCTCTCGCAGGTTACACGGATGCGTTCCTCGCTGGAAGACTGCTGCTCGTCCTCCTTCTCCTGGAAGTGCTCCCGGACGCACTGCTCCTCAAACTCGTGCAGCCTCTTCAGCTCCTCGTCGCTGAGAAATAGCTCTGCATATAAGCAGAAGAGGTTGGCACGTGAGACATCAGCCAGGTAGGTGCGTCCTTGTGAATTTCACAGGCCGCCTTTAATCTAGCTCGTTTCCCCATCCATTGCAGGCAGGACCCTGCCTCCTGGACTGGTTATCACACAAAGACTCTTTGTAATATCAGTGATCATCTTTCCATTGGAGATGAACGGCTCACTTTTAATAAAAATTTTTATTGAGGTATGCATGCTAAGTCAATTCAGTCGTGTCCGACTCTTTGCGATCCTATGGACTGTAACCTGGCAGGCTCCTCTGTCTGCGAAATTCTCCTGGCGAGAATGCTGGAGTGGGCTGCCCTGCCCTCCTCCAGAGCATTGAGGTATCGTTGATTTATATACTGTGTTCATTTCTGCTGTACAGCAGAGTGACTCAGTTATACACACATTTTTTTCATATTCTTTTCTATTATGGTTTATCACAGGGTATTAAATATAGTTTCCTGTGCTCTACAGTAGGATCTTATTGTTTTTCTATCCTATGTATACCAGTTTGCATCTGCTAATCCCAAGCTCCCAACTGGTTCCTTTCACTGAAAGTTCAAATTTCAAGCACAGAGCATCTGGCTGAGTCTGCTGGGTTGCATGACACCTAGACAGCTCACTTTCTTTTTTTTTCATTTATTTTTATTAGTTGGAGGCTAATTACTTTACAATATTGTAGTGGTTTTTGCCATACATTGATATGAATCAGCCATGGATTTACATGTGTTCCCCATCCTGAACCCCTCTCCCACCTCCCTCCCTATCCCATCCCTCTGGATCATCCCAGTGCACCAGCCCTGAGCACTTGTCTCATGCATCCAACCTGGACTGGCGATCTGTTTCACACTTGATAATATACATGTTTCGATGCTATTCTCTCAGATCATCCCACCCCCGCCTTCTCCCTTAGAGTCCAAAAGTCTGTTCTATACATCTGTGTCTCTTTTTCTGTCTTGCATATAGGATTATCTTTACCATCTTTCTAAATTCCATATATATGTTAGAATACTATACTGGTGTTTATCTTTCTGGCTTACTTCATTCTGTATAATGGGCTCCAGTTTCATCCATCTCATTAGAACTGATTCAAATGTATTCTTTTTAATGGCTGAGTAATATTCCATTGTGTATATGTACCATAGCTTTCTTATCCATTCGTCTGCTGATGGGCATCAAGGTTGCTTCCATGTCCTGGCTATTGTAAACAGTGAACAGCTCACTTTTTAACACAACTCAGATTGCTGCTATTTGGAATGTGAAACCAAGCATGATTTTCTGGGAAATGTTTTCCATATATTTTATGGATAGAGGCAAAGTGGCAGGAATATTTTCCCATTCTCCTTAAGTGTAACACAGTAAAACATTTGGAAAGGAACAATGGATTTATAGAGAAAAGTTATTTTCAAGAACTCTCTCAACTTTTCATCCCCTCAGGAGTGGACTTTCAGTGATATTAATTAGTAATAAACTAATGGGTATCCAATTATAACTCTCTTTAGAAATTTGCCCAGGATAGAAACAGAAGAGTGCTGCACATACTCAATCCACGATCCTGTTCGTCTTGGTCCCCTTCTCGTTTCTTCCTGCAGCGACGGCTGAGACGCATGATGATAATATAGATGTGGCTTAAAATGATCATTGGTGGAGGCAGGACAGGCCGGTCATGAAATGTCATAATTAGCTGATAACGCTGGAATTTCCACACTTGGTTGGATATTGACTTCACTTCAAAGAAGGTATTGCTTTAAAAAGAATACATGTTTAGTTAGCTAATACTTAAAAAAATTTTTTTATCATGACAACAGTCACATAATATAACCATATAGTCATATAATAAACAAAAGTCATACATATAATCATATTGAACATAGAGTGTGTCATACAGAATGAAATAAGTCAGGAAGAAAAACAAATACTGTGTACTTATGCATATATGTAGAATCTAGAAAAATGGTACAGAGGAACCTATTTGCAAAGTTGTATTACTTTTTTTAGCACTAGAATAATTATTTTAATTTTTAATTTTTTAAATTGGAGTATAACTGCTTTACAATGTTGTGTATACATGTAGCTGACTCACATTGCTGTACAGCAGGACATAACACAAAGTTGTAAAGCAGTTGTATTACTTTTGATTGTGATTTCCCAGAATTAGAGTTACTCACACTGAATTGAAAATATGCAATAAAATGGCCTTTGGGTTCCATTCTAGAAGTTAGGGCTGACTTCTAGATGACTTGTCTTTTGGTTTGTCTATCAGTGTGGCTTGTCTACATTGAAGGGCCTTTTACTTGTATAAATAATTAAGAATGAAGATTGTTATCCCCTACTTTCTTGAAAAACCACGCCATAGTCTACTGACTGCTCAGGACATTTTATTTCATATAGTTAAAGATATGAGCCATTCAACTAAGCATTTTGAAGTATTTATACTTTCAATTCAGTCATAAAACTAGTTGACTACAGTTTTTTGGAACTGAGTTCATTAATTATTGAACATTTTGATTGAAGGTACATTATTTTGGATATTTTGGATATTAGGTTGGTACAATCTTTGTCTTCTTTTAGCTTCCAGCAGAAGGCAATAAGCCTAGAATTACTGGAATCCTGATCAAGTATGTGGTCTACACAGGGTCCTTAGAAAAGCCAGTTAACCTCTGTCAAACCTTCATTTTCTCATCTGTCAAGTCAGGAGTGTAACCATATTCTCTCCAGTGCCTTGGTCAGCTCTGCTGCTGCTGCTGCTAAGTCACTTCAGTTGTGTCCGACTCTGTGTGACCCCGTAGATGGCAGCCCACCAGGCTCCTCCATCCCTGGGATTCTCCAGGCAAGAATACTGGAGTGGGTCAGCTCTGAGAGTCTATTTCTGTGCGGGATTTTTCTCTCATATTTTTCATCTTAGAAGTTAAAATAGTTTTTTTCAACATTTATTAAACATGGTCACATCCTCAATGCATCATGCCAAGAGGGGCAAATTTTACAAGAAAACTGGACTATGAATTTTAAGCCATTTCTTCCCTAGATCACTTTATCTTCTATTCAGTAAATGATAAGAAAAATATTTCATGTAATAAATAGTACAGTAATTGTCATGGTTTTTCATTGGCTAAGTCATGTCTGACTCTTTGTGACCCCATGGACTGCAGCATGCCAGGCTTCCCTGTCCTCCACTACCTTCTAGAGTTTGCTTAGGTTAGTGTCCACTTATTGCCACAGCCTATAAGATTAGCTTTGCTTTTGTGCCTCTGATCATGAATTCAAGACTCAACTTGATAAATCTTTCTATCTCAAGAGACTTTCATCTGAGGAAATACTTTCATTAGATTAAAATTCATGCCAAAGTGTTAAAATACAAACTAAGATTGAATTTAAATATATTTAGGTGTCAACTCTTTATTTAGGAACACATGAAGTCTGATTGTGGTTGAACAAAAAAGACTGCAAAAAAAAAAATTTGTACACATTTGAAAGCCCTAGTGGATTCCGTGTAAACCCCAGGCAGCCTCGGAGGTTTCTGAGATTAGACTGAAAATCTGTAAAGTAGTAAACAGTAAGCACATGATCATCAGCTGAGACACGCACTTGAAAACGGCGATGAGCAGGTTCACAAGCAGGATGTTGGCCACTAGCAGGTAGCAGGCCATGATGGCAGGCGTGAGCCAGGCACCAGGGATGCAAGGGGGGAGCCGCTTGCCTTCCTCATCGTACTGGTTGTCACCACAAGGAGCTGAAATGAGAGTTTGTCTTTTTGTGCTTGATTTTCACATAGAATGAAAAGATTAATAACTGACCTATGCTATTAAAGGACCTATTTCTTTTTTACTTTGATTTTTTTTTCTGATTTCCTAAGCAGTAATTTTCCATGTGAAAGATATCAATTCATACAAAGGAGATAAGAAACTCATTTCTGCACTCAGAATTAGTCATTCTTAACCTGTCATATTTATAAATATTTTCTCATTTCTGTGTTGTGTTTTTCAATCTACAGTGAAAATATATAATGAATTTTAAGTGAATTCTTCACTTCATCTTTAAGCAGACACATCTGTCTTTATGGATTTTTTCCTTTTTTTTACTGTTAACCATTTGAAAGTGATTGGGTCTTCTAATTATGTAATATTAACTTACATTGTCTTCTTGATCATTAACTTTGAAAATGATTTTATTATGAGGTAGGAGGTAAGTATCCTCTCTAGGCTCAAATTCATTAATTGACTGTTCTGTGCTCTGTTTGAAAAAGAATCTTTTTTCTCTCTGCTCATTGGAAACGCCACTTTGATCCTATGGGACTTATTTTCTGAGGAAAAAGATAGGATGATCCTAATAGTCATTAACGAAGTAATATCCATGAATTCACAGTCTACTTATTTTTCACTTCCTATTAAAAAAAAAAAAACATTGATACCAGAAAACAAGTATTTGAAACCAGCATACAACTCTGGGTAATTAGCTGAGGAAGAGACTAGTTAATACACACATTCCATAGACTAGAGTCATCAATTATGTGTAAACTTACGATTAATTTCCATGGCGTAGACTATAGAGTGATTGGATAGCAGCATTTTATTTTTTTAGTTTTTACAGGAAGGAAGAAAAGAAAATAAGATAGTTGAGAGAAATGTCAAACAAATGATGAGTAATATAAGAACTGTTTTACTATCAAGAAATGCAAAGTATTCAAGGGGATTACACATTCACACTTGGAAACAGTGATCTACTTAGGAGAATTGTGCACATTATTAGTTCTAGGAAATATATGTATATATATTTCATGAATATTTATTTTATATGTCATAAGCAATAGCTAAAGCTCACTAGTTAAAAAGACTGTGAAAAAGACATGAGGCTACTGACAGATGATCATTTTAATGTGTAGGTTGACCAATCAAGCATCCCCTGTATGCCAACTCAAATACCTCGTCAGCACAAATAAATGCAAACTTACTATGAAGTAATCAGATCAAGAATTGAAAATCTACATTTCCCACTGTTACTGAAAATAGCCTCAATTTTGCCTCTCCATTTTCTGTTATTACCCAATTTAATTTAAAAATATTACAACTTATGTCTAGATCCAGGGACTTTTTCCACATTTATGCATGCTTTCTGAAGTTAATATTCTTTTGAAACCAAATTAGATTTTTATGTTCTGGTTTACCAAGCTACAAACACATCTACTAATTGACTCTGAGATAATCATGATAAAAATGTGGTCTGAATCACATGATGAGATGCAGTAGATGGAAGGCATTTGTGTGAACTGGTTATCAGTCTCACCTAGTGAAGATACACTGAACAACCCTGCATCTCCTACAACTCAAGGATGTTCAAAACCTTCTATTCTAAAGAAGCTTCTGCTTCTACTGGAAGTAGTAGCCATGGTACTGTACCTGGCACTTTTTGACAGAACACAACATACAAATCAAAATATGTGGTGCGAATATGAATATGGGTCTGAAGATGCTTGTTCACTGGTAATGCAGTAACTGTCCAGGTGAAATCATGTAAGCTCATTTGAACTTCACTTCCCTACAACACGAGAGACACTGTGACCTACCAACTCAGCTTGGGCAGAGCTGGGGCCTGCATTCCCCAGAAATTCATGTTAGATTGCAGCTCATCTCCTCTGCTAACATCCATATTACTGTTGATAGTACAAAAATAGCACCCCAGGAGTGAGGAGGAGATGGACAGCTATATGGAAAAGGAGTTATGAAGCCTGAAGAAGAGGATGAACAAGGCACTAGTCACCCTCATGCTCACTCTCTCATTTGGCTGAAATAACATCACAAGCTCTATCTTAGGGCAGAAAGAGACTTAGGTTGAAGAAAAATTAGGATGTTGGCATTGGGACCACATTCATGTGTAGAATGTGCTCAAGGGATGTGAGACTCAGAATTCCAGGGAGTGGTTCTCAGAGTAGAAGATTGGCATCTCAAAAAATCTGTATTTCATAATATGCACTGATTTCTTCATAAAATAATTGGATGCCTATGACAGAATAAAAAATACTTTACTCCCAAATTAACACAGGTCTTCCATTAATTTGGAACTGATCATCTGCCTTGGGAAGCAGGGAAGAGAATCTTACTATGAATTCTATTCTTACGGTCTATCTGGTCTGCAAACACCTCCCCGTAGATCATCCAGTAGGGCATGTAGAAGATATTCCGGGCCAGTTTCCAAGAAGGCTCCTCATCTGGATGCAAGATGGCTTGACGGGCTACTCCAAAACTCATCAGCACCACTAGCATGATGACCACGAAATACAGCATGTCAATCATCTGAGGAGAGAGGAAATGGGCCAAGTCCACCTGGTTCATTACTGTGTGCTCCCCTCAGAGACTTCATGAGTGCTTAATTAGGATGGCGGAAGCTTCTTTCCCCCTCTCCCTCCCATCCATGGGCTACTAGTTCTTGAATTCCATGCAACACATACACCTTATTCTAGAACATTGCCATTCCCATCTCCTGCTCTCAATCTTTCTTCTCTCTGGTGTGTGTGTTAGTTGCTCAGTCATGTCTGACTCTTTGCAACCCCATAGACTGTACCCCACCAGGCTTCTCTGTCCATGGAATTCTCCAGGGAAGAATACTTGAATGGATAGCCATTCCCTTCTCCAGGGGATCTTCTCAACACACAGGGATCGAACTCAGGTCTCTAGCATTGCAGGCAGCTTCTCTACCATCTGAGCCACCAGTGAAGGCCCCCCTCTCTTGTTACCCATAAACAAATTCCTCTAGTAACTACAACTGCAAGTAGAGAAAGGGAAACATTATGGGAAAACAGGAATTTATAAGGGAAACTCAGGAGTAAGAAGAGGAGATGTCTAAGGAGGTAACAAGTTGGTGAGTTGAGAGTATGTACTAACATTCGTTCATTATACAAATAGTGAGTAGTTACAGTGAGTAATGCTCTGGTTACTATGAATACTGGCCTTGTGTAATTCTTAATTTTGAACATCCCTGAAGATGAGAGCCCTGACTGGGATCACCTAGACTATATGTCCCTTCCCTCAAAACCACTTGCCACACAAAGAGTTATTCCTAAGCTTGAAAGATGTCCTGTCTTTTGGGACCAGTCCTAGCACTGAGACTATTTTAAGTGATGTAAGGATGGTTCATTCTTAGTTTCATATTCTATAGCCTCTTCTGGATAAATGTTGCCATGGATTTATCTTGACCTCATCACATGCATTGCCTGTGTCCACTCAGTGAAGAATCTGCCTGCAATGCAGGAGATGTAGATTGCAGGAGATGCAGATTCAATCCCTGGTTTGAGAAGATACCCTGGAGAAGGAAATGGCCACCCACTCCAGTATTCTTGCCTGGAAAACTGCACAGACAGAGGAGCCTGGCAGGCTACAGTCCATGGGATTGCAGTCAACCACAACTGAGCACTGACCAAGTTATAGGTTACTACAGTCTAGAGTGTGTGATCTGAAAACTGTCTGGAGTTGGGATGGGGGAGTGACGGCACCCACCTGTTTGCTTCTGGCTTCTACATCATGTTAGGAGGTTAACCATTGAGTTATTGCCAGAAATACATATACATACAGTAGGCCCTTAACTCGTGTTTGTCAACTGGATTTAATTAAGTGATCAATATGTAGAAGAGCTTAAAGCAAAGAACATTTCCTGTAGAAAACCAATTGCTGGGGAAAGATCAAATGAAACATCACAGACTCACGCCTGAGACCTGGCCCCAGGTCCTAACCAACAGCCTCAGTGCTTGCAGTTCCTCATGGGCCATCAGTACTAACCATCTTTCCGATCATCATCACGTAGGGTCCCAGGTACTTGTTGACACCAAAGATGTCCAGGACACGGATGTACCAGAAGATGATGTCCACGCAGTAGATCACACGGCCATAGCCCATGTAAGGTTGCTTCTGGAGGCGAAGGATGGCTCCGATCATGAACATGGAAATGGCCACGAGGTCTGTAATGTTCCAGTACTCCTGCAGCCAAACTTTTATTTTCTGGCTTAGCTTACCCGGTTCTGACATGAGGATCTGAAAAGAAATGCCAAACAACAACAAAAATCAGGGAGAGTGGTGTTGGAAGCTTCACCTTAGAATCTTGGGTACTGAGGGCTGGAGCAGCATTCCAGGGGCTTCCCTAGTGGTTCAGACAGTAAAGAATCTGCCTGCAATGTGGGCGAACTGAGTTCAGTCCCTGGGTTGGGAAGATCCCCTGGAGGAGGGCATGGCAACCTGCTCCAGTATTCTTGCCTGGAGAATCCCACAGACAGAAGAGCCTGTTGAGCTACAGTCCACAGGGTCACAAAGGGTCGGACCCGACTGAGCACCTAAGCATAGCACAGCAGCATTCCAGGGCATCTGGTCCCCTTTCCTGCTCTAGATTTCTAAGTACTCATCTTCTTAGGCAGATAACATATCTAGAAAGGGAAATTCCACAAGACTCCTTTGGATTCCTAGTTTCACGAACTCTCAGGAAATGCCTTCTGAGTTATGTCCCTCTGGCCATTATGAAAGCAGCTGCCTTTTGACCCCTTTTCCAATTTTCTGGACACGTGCCTGTGAGCCCATGTTCCAGAGTTAGTCCAGGAGGAAAACCCTAGAGCAGAGATAAACCTATGTGGTCCCACAGAGGGGCATCCACCCAGAGGAGATGGAGGGACTGGGATAGGATGGGTAAATCAACCCAGATTCCTTTGTAACTCAGAGATGAGAAGTCAGGGGAAAGCTGAGCTTCATTTTCTCCTGCTTGAGATCTTACCCTTTCAAAGTTACCACAGCTTAAAAGGACACTTTCTCAGAGGCTTTCCTGGTGGCCCAAAGGGTAAAGAATATGCCTGCAATGCAGGAGACCCAGGTTCAATCCCTGGGTTGGGAAGATGCCCTGGAGAAAAGAATAGCAACCCACTTGAGTACGCTTGCCTGGAGAATTCCATGGACAGGGGAACCTGGCAGGCTACAGTCCATGGGGTCACAAAGAGTTGGACATGACTGAGTGACTAACAGACACACACCTTTGTCAGCAAAGTGATGTCTCTCCTCATAGTAAAACTGAAAATATTTAACAAGCAGCATGCAGGGGCACACAGAAAGCAAACATAGCTGCAGCTATGATGTGCAGCAGGGTGGGGGCTTTAAAGGTGGTGCCTCTTTAGTTATGGAGTTTCTTGGTAGGTCCTGGGGACCCCAGGGGTGGGACGGGTGGTGGCTATTCATAAGCCAACTCAGAAGGCATTCACTAGTTTAAAAACTCATGCACTCTGACTTATGCCTGCTGCCCTCTTTCCTATAACTGGGGGTGGGGGGCAAGGACGGTGGGCTCTGTGCAGTAAAGAACAGTGTCTTAGCAGAGGGCTGGTGCTCAGTGAGCTCACAGTGGCACTAGAGGTGGCACACAGGCCACTTGAAAGTCCCAGTTGTCGCATGCAGAGTTTGAATGAAGCCCAGCTAGAAAAGAAAGAAGTTGTAGGAGATGGGTTGTAATGTTTTAGACTTGGCACTTTTCATCTGGGGCTGTTGTCAGACTGACAGCATCAAATTAGCTCTCCTGGGAAGAAGTTGCCAGTAATAATGTTTCAGTTCAGTGAAAGGGTCAATACAAAAAATATATTGCAAAATAAATAATACTGCTTCTCTATCAGTGGGAGAAAAAATATGAAATTCTGCTGTGTGCTATCTCAACTTCACTTCTTCTTGGGTATATTGTTGCTATTTAGTCGTGCCCTTGTGCCCAACTCTTTGCAACCCCATGGACTGTAGCCTGCCAGGCTCCTCTGTCCACAGAATTTCCCAGGCAAGAATACTGAAGTGGGTTGCCATTTCCTTGGATGTAAGCTTTCTCTTATAAACTGATATAATGAGTTGAAACCTGTAGGTGACATTAGAAAGAAAAGGATCTGGCCTACACTTTCTCTGCCACCTGCACAGGCTGCCCTCTCAGATATGTGAGTTTCACGTCCCTGTGATGTAAGTTGTGCATGAACTGGTGTCTGTCCTTTCTCAACACTTAGTTGAAAACCCTGTTTCCTGTGTTTGCAGCAGATGTGCTGGAAGCCTACCCAGAGGTGCTGGAGGCTTCCTCTGGGTGGGGGTGCCCAGTCCCCACCTGCTGCAAGGGCCACTGTTCCCTCCTACCTGCCCCCTTGGGCAATGGGAGCCCTTACCCAGAGGCCCCACTGGCTGACTGATGTGGGTATGAAACTCAGGTCCCTTTGGTCAAGATGGAGCAGACTGTACAGTATTGAATACACTCAGAGTCCCCTGCCAATGAGGCCAGGGACAGATTCCACTGAAGCCACACCTCCCTCAGCCCTGTCCCCTCTCCAGCCTGACCACCCTGCTCTTTCTTCCCGCTCTCCTGGAAGCTCTCCTTTAATAAACCACTTGCACAAGAATCCCCATCTCAGATGGAGGGAGACCCAGCTAGGACAGACTGGTTCAAAGTCCTAAGTTACAAGAAAAATGTCATATCCTACGCCTCCCTGTCTACATTCAGCTCCCTGAAAATGGAGCCCCAATTTGTACCAAGTTGGAGTCATGGGTTTATCTCAGGTACCTGGCAAAATTCCTGCTGGTTTTACAGGCCCTCAGACTTGTTTTTATTACTAAACACCATCTACTCTGCTTTGTGTTCTGATTTCCAAGTTCAGTTTCAGTTTGAAACAGAAGGCATATAAATCTGCGAGGGAATAGAATCAACTTGGGATTGTGACACCTGGAAAGAAAACATCCAGGGCACTTGGAATTTACATGACTCATTTTTGCAATAAGAAGCAATATCTGAGGACTTCTCTGGTGATCCAGCCGTTAGGACACTGTATTGCCATTGTAGGGGGCACAGGTTCAATCACTGGTCAGGTAACTAAGATCCTGCGTGCCTTGTGGCCAAAAAGAATTTAAATAAATAAAGAATCTACATCTGAATTGAAGTCATTGGTGGGTGGGGCTGGGACAGGTCTTCACAGCCTCACCTCCCGAATTTTCTCCAAGGCCAGGCTCAGGATGTAGGAGATGACGATCCACTCCTGGAGGCAGGGCCAGCGCTCCATCCGCACCAGGATGACATAGTTGAACAGCAGTAGGTACCCCAGGTAGGATATCTGAAAGGCAGAGACCGACAGTAGTGTCTGAGGGGAGGATCAGAGCCTGGAAAAGCTCTGAAACCCTGTTTACAGGGAGACACATCCTCTAAAACAAATTTTCATTTCTAGGTGCACTGACTCTATTAGAGGAAACCTTCCACTCACATCACAGGTGCAGTCAGAGAACCTTGAGGCAGGTTGGGAGGCATTTTGTACTTTAGCATAATATGCACGCTGAAAGTCCACTCTCTAAATGAAAGTATATTTGTTGCTACTTCCGCTTCATGGGGCTTCCCTTATGGCTCAACAGTAAAGAATCTGCTTGCCAATGCAAGAGATGCAGGAGACTCATGTTTCATCCCTGGGTCGGGAAGATCTGCTGGAAGAGGAAATGGCAACCCATTCCAGCATTCTTGTCTGGGAAATCCCATGGACAGAGGAGCCTGGTGGGCTATAGTCCAAAGGGTCGCAAAGAATCAGACACATATGCACGCACGCATATCAGCTTCATGGGGAAATTATGAAGTTGCACAAAATTATGATAAATAGAGAAACTTTAAGTAGTATACTGGTGTGCCTTCTACATTCCTGGAAATTGGAAAATGTTACTGACTTCTCCCTGCATTGCTAATTTCCTTCTTAAATCTTCCCACTGCTGATGGGCGTGGGAGTTTCGAAAGAGGGGAGGGTGACGATGGGGCATCTGCCCAGCACACCCAGCGGTCCTAAGGCCCCTTAATTAGCATCCATATGTCTGTGTTGTGCTGCGCCCACAACAGGGTCCCTATCTTTGAGGCATGTAGAATTGGGTGATACAGGAGTGAGGTATGAGGTTGAGGAAGGTGATCCGAAGATGAGTGAGGCTGATTCACTCCAAAGATGAAGAATCTTCAGCTTTAGCCCCTACCCCTCTGGTCCAGGGCCCTTCTGAAGTTTTGGTGGTGTGGGTAAGGTATGTGCTAGCAATTGATCATCTGGGATTCCTAGTCTTTTTTTTTTTAATAGCCCCCTCCTGATTGGTTTTTCACCAGGATACAGGCAGCATCCCATGTCTAGTCTTTGCAGGAGGATTAGAGCAAGAGTTCTCAAAGTTGGGTTGCATTGGGAACCCCTTGTACTCAGTCACATCAATTGTGTTCAACTCTTTGCAACCCCATGGACTCTAGCCTTCCAGGCTCCTCTGCCCATGAGATTCTCCAGGAAAGAATACTGGAGTGGGTTGCCATTTCATTTTCCAGGGGATCTTCCTGGCTCAGGGATTGAACCTGCATCTCCTGAGCTGTAAAAGCATGGGACCCCTCCCCTACATCTGCAGGCTGCATTTAGAGGCCCTGGGAAGACACCCAAGGCTTGTCAGCCTCCTGGCCCCACCCTCTTCATCCACTTGAGCTCAGGTTCTGAGCCTGGGCCTCAGCTGGTTCTGACCAGAACAGATGGACAGCTGTGTCAGGTGTGGCTGCCAAGAGGTTGGGTGTCCAGATTCTCACTGGCCTGGGTCCCCATGTAGCCCCGAGGGTGCTGTGCCCCGGAGCTCCGCCTCTACCTTCTACCTACCCACAGCCATCGCCCTGTCCATGGCCTTGGATCTGGCTCCTCACTTTCCATCACCTGCTCATGCCCAGTCACTAATGGAACCACACTGCCAGGGTCTGCCTGAGATGGGTTGTGCCCTGGTACCTGGGACTTCATGAGTAGTTTTGACCCTCCTGAAGACTGCAGTGATTTCGGGAGGCACAGTGTGCCCGCCACCCCTGCTGGGACCATCCGCAATCAGCTCAGTTTCCTTCAGAACCTTCCAAATTGCTCCAGTCTCTTTGCCCCACTTCTCTCACCCTTCTGCATGTGTAAGACTGGACCATTCTTGCTCCAGCCACAGTGCCCTCCTACAGCCGTCCAGACAGTGGCCACAGATAGGGCTGGATGAGAGTATGTGGCCACAGTTTGGAGGCCTTGATTCGTTCCTCAAATCCAGGACTTCATGCTCTGGATTCAACTCCACTTTGAGTGATCCCATCAGTCTTCTGAACAATGGCATTTGTCAGCTTGCTTTCTCAATATGAGTCATCTTTGTTCACTGTTGGACTAGAACTGTATTTTCCTAAGTGTGTATTACTATAAGACATTTGAAAAATCCTTCTTCTTAAGGAAATAGAATATGATTATTTGGCTTTATGAAATGGTATATTTGGTCTAGAATGATCACATTCCTGTATATAAATATTGTCTATCTAGGTTCAATTTTAGTTGAAGATCTGAGTTAGTCCCACTTCATGTGCATAATTCATTTTAATCCACTGATTTTTTTAACTTTTTATTTTACATTGGAGTGTAGCTGATTAATAATGTTGTGGTAGTTTCAGGCAGACAGCAAAGGGACTTGGCCATACATATACATATATCCATGCTCCTCCAAACTCCCCTCCTATCCAGGCTGCCACATAAAATTGAGCAGAATTCCCTGTGCTATACAGTAGGTCCTTGTTGGTTATCCATTTTAAATATAGCAGTGTGTTTACGTCCATCCCAAACTCCCTAACTATCCCTTCCCCCCATCCTTCCCTTCTGGTAACCATAAGTCTGTTTTTTAAGTCTGTGGGTCTCTTTCTGTTTTATAAGTAAGCTCATTTGTATCATTTCTTTTTAGATTCTGCATATAAGGGATGTTATATAATTTAATTGAGGATCTCAGTTAGTCTCACTTCTATTTGCATAACTCATCTTAATCCATTGATTTTTTTTTTAAAAGCACTTTCTTGAAGAAGAAGAATCATTCTTGATTCTCATACATCCAAAACATGCTAAGGGAGGCCTTACTGTGTAAAACCAGAACTTGACGATGGGGGCGTTGTAGAATTCACAGATCTTGGTCCCAATGGGGACACTTCGTTGCTTTTTGTGTTCATTCTCCTCATCCCCCTTTCTGGAGCTGGCATCTGCATTGGCATCCTGAAAACAGAGCAGAGCACATGGCAAGCAGGCTGCCAGATGGGAAACTCCCGGGACCCTAGCACCACAGCTAACAGACAGGCACCTTCCAAAATCAAGGATTATAAAAATGCTCTCTATTCTTTTTCTTTTGATATATTATTGTGATTTATTAATAATTGAATTTTTCCAAAGGCTAATGACAGAAAACAACAAAATTCTGTAAAGCAATTATCCTTCAATAAAAAATAAATTAAAAGAAAGAAGTAAAAGATTTTAATAGACCTTTCACCAATGAAGGTATATGGAAAACAAATAAATATGTTAATGATGTTCAACCTTAAATGTTCTGTATTCCTGCAGTGTCTAAATTCACGGCAAGAGAAATAGCAACCCTTTTGAAGATGAGGGTTGATGGTTGGGGGCATCACTGACCATATTCTCCTCTTCTTTTTCTTTGCCATCCTCATTTTCCTTGGATGTTTGATAGGAGAAGTCATCATAGGTGCGAAAGTCCAAAAACAAGATAGTTGGGGGGAGAAGAATCCCCATGATAACCTAGGTATGATGAGAAAAGTGGATTTTTAAGCTATGAGAACTCCTGAAAATTTTCCCAGTATAGGTAAAATTTTAAATAATGAGCTTCAGCATTCCTCAGTAAGCAAGCAGCTCTGGAGCGGGTCTGTCTCTGCTCTGATGGTCTGTGGCTTATTTGGTTTGGTACATGGATAGAATTGCAGACACTGAGAAATGTGAACAACCACCACATTGTTCAAGAGCAGCAAGCAGGATGATGTGGAATCCTAGCTTAAAAAGTAAAGATCTTACATTGAGTTTCAAAGCAGGTAATTTTTTAAAGTAAAATATAGTAAGTAAAAATTAATTAATTAGACCAAAATATTTTAAATAGAAATAACTTAGATGTAAATGTGAATATATGGGCGAAGGGTTGGAAGACGACCGTGCTCCTGAAAAAAGGATTTGTGAGTGTACTTAGTCCCATTGAGCTGTATAGTTAGATAAGGCTAAAATAGTGTGTTTATATTATGTGACTTTTATCACAATAATAAAAAACATTAAAAAACAAAAAAGGAAAAAAACCCCAAAGGTTTTCTGAAGAACTAGGAATTCTGCCTCAAGAATGTAATATAGAAATCCTGATTTCTGTATTACAGATTCAGATTTACCAGTCCTCAATCATACTCAATCATGTGCGTCGATTCTATAAAATAAATAAATTGGTTCTGTTCTTCTGGGAAAAGAAGAAAGAAAGAAAGAAGAACTTAACATGGGCTCAGCCTAGACAGCAAAAGGATGGCCTAACCTATAAATGGAGACCTCTGTCATTTTTTTAAAAACCACATTTCTGTTTTTATTTTTTAATTTTTTGGCCACTCTGGACAGCATGTGGGATTTTAGTTCTCTGGCCGGGGATCGAACTCCCAGCCCCTGTACTGGAACTGTGGAGTTTTGACCGCTGGACCACCAGGGAAGTCCCATTCTTGCCATTTTTATCACTGCTGTGCTGTGTGTCTCCAATACTAAGCTGTTTCCAATGTTAAGTCCTAATTTTTAAAAAAAATTTCCCCTCAGCCATCCATTATTAAGAACACCACAAAGGGGCTATTTCTACCATATACTAAAAATTATATTATAAAACACTAATAATTAAAACAGTGTAGTACAGGTATATGAAGAGACCAAACAGTGCAGCAGAGTGGAAGCATCCAGAAAAAGATTCAAATACACTTGTGAGACAAACACCACATCCAATGAGAGGAGTAAAGATGACTATTTAATGCACAGTATTGAGAATCTGTGTGATCATTTATAAAATAATTAAGTTGGATCCATATCTCACACAATCACTAGAATAACTCTGACTAGCTCAATAATTTCATGAAAGAAAATAGGGGAGGGGGATGCATACAGAGACAATGAAACAACTAAGAATCATCACATGAGAATTCTTTCATAAATAGAGGAGAAAACCTTTCTAATGATGCTCCCAAATCAAGACACAATCAAAGCAAAGATCAATAGGTCTTGTACTTAAATCACAAACTTCTGCACAGCAAAAACACATCACAACCACAGTAAAAACAACTCATGGGAAAATATACTTGCAGCTCTTGACGCAGGAAAAGGCCAATCTTTCTAATTAGAAAAGATCTCCTAGACGTCAAGAAGGAAACTTCTAACAACCCAGCAAAAAAATGGGCAAAAGCAGTGAACTTAGGGACATTTGTGTTTATAGCAAATGGGCTCATTTTCGCTCATAAGAGATATTCAGGGACTTTTCAGATGGTTCAGTGGTTTGATCCCTGGTCAGGGAACTAAGATCCCACCTGCAGCGTGGCCAAAAATAAAATAACAATAAAGAAACTGATAGCATCTTTTAAAAAAAAGTGGGGGCGGGAAGAAAGACATTCAAAGAAACTATGCAAAGATCTCATTTTTTACCATTAGATTGTAATAATTCCAATGTGTGTTCACACACCATATTGGTGGGATTGTGGGAAAATTCTCTGCACAATGGTGGGGGTGAGGGGGGGGGTGGTGTGGACACTTCCACAGAAGGAAAGGCTATCAAGATCACAAGTCCAGATCACCATGGGGCCAACAGCTCCCCTTCTGGATGTTCACTTAGCAGACATGTGAGGCACAATGTGTGTTCAAGAAAAGCCATGGTGGCCATGAGTGTAGCACCCCAGGGGTGAGTGACTTGCACTGGGGATTGGCCTGAGCTGTGATAGTCTGCTGTAAAGGAAAACAGGGAAAGCAGGTAAGAATGAAGGAATGTTCTATGTTGTAATACAGGAAGAGTTCCCAGAGGAAGTGGGAAAAAAAGGTACATAACAATGACTATGTCAACCTTTGTGAAAAAGAAAAAACAGTAAGTATATAAATTCACCAGAAAAAGAAAAGAGAGTATTCATATTAGTTTTACATATGGAAATATACACAAGAAACAAATATCAGTGGTTGCCACTGGGTGGAATAGGCCACATGGGGGACAGGGGTTAGCAGGGAGATTTGTCACACTTTAAACAGTTTTATTTGTATTTTTTTGATGTGTACGATTTTCAAAGTCTTTATTGAATGTGTTACAGTATTGCTTCTGTATTATGTTTTGGTTTTTGGGCCCAGAGGCATGTGGAGTCTTAGCTCCTTAACCAGGGATGGAACCAGGGATTGAACCCACTCTTGAAAGGTGAAGTCTTAACCACTGGACTGCCAGGGAAGTCCCATAAACAGTTTTAATTTTTTAATATGTGCATATGATATGAACTAGTCAAAGAATTAAATTTTAAAAAATCCTGGCTTTACAATAATTACGTATTTATATTGCAAATTAAAAATGCTTTGAAGGAAATTTGATGCTTACAAATATTTATACCTATGGATAGACATTATATCAAAAAAAAGCATTAGGTTAAAAAAAGAAAAAGGAAGAGATTGCAAAACACCCACCAAATCTCAAAAACTTAGTACAAAAAAAGAATATAGACTATCTCATTAGTGATATTTTTCCTTTCGAAAACATTTTGTACCTACTGGTTTAAATCAATATATTATTAAAATTAACTTGAGGACTTCCCAGGTGGTCCAGTGGCTAAGACTCCGTGCTCCCAATGCAGGAGGCTCAGGTTGTCCCCCTGGTCAGGGAACTAGATTCCACATGCTGCAACTAGAAGGTCCCACGTGCCTCAAAGAAGACTGAAGATCCTGCATGCTGCAACTAAGACCTAGTGCTGCCAAATAAACAAATAATTTTTAAAAGTTAACTTCAACTGTTTCTTTTTTACTTTCTACAACGTACTTGAGAAACTTTATATAGCTATTAAAAGTCTTTTTCTAAAGGGAAAATCTAAAGTTTAAATTTAAAGCACATATGTGCTTTATTTCTGTTGGACAGTGCTGCTGAAGACAATACAGTTTAATCTCACTCTTTAAAATTCTGGCATGTTTAAAAATTACCTTTTAGTAATATATTCAACTACTTTTTTTTTTTTCAGCTGTGCCAGGTAGCATGTGGGATCTTAGATTCCTGACCAGGGTTCGAACCAGTGCCCCCTGCATTGGGAGCCTAAAGTCTTAACCACTGGACAACCAGGGAAGTCCTGGTGAACTTTTAGTACATATGTACCCTGTTTGTTTATGGGTTAAAGAGCTGGAACATATGGACCTGTAGACTTGATCACAGAATGGACTTGGGGATGCTCTTCGGCCCTTCTTATCTTCTGCCACTTGGCAGCTGCATGTTGAGGCTGGACCAAACCTTGGTTGTTGTTGTTTTTTTTTAATTTTATTGAAGCATATTTGATTTACAATATTGGGTTTAATTTCTGCTGTGCAGCAAATTGTTATACATATATTCTTTTTCATATTCTTTACTATCATGATTTATTACAGAATATTTAATATAGTTCCCTGAGCTGTACAGTGGGAACTTGTTGCTTATACATACTATATAGGCTAGTTTGCACCTGCTAATTCAAAACATCCAATCCTTCCCTCACCCACCAACCCATCCCCCTTGGCAACCACAAGTCTGTTCTCTATGTCTGTGAGTCTGTTTCTGGTTCGTAGATATGTTCAGTATAGAGGTTCTTCAATAAACTAAAAATAGAGTTGCCAAATGATTCAGCAGGCCCACTCCTGAGCATATATCTGAACAAAACTATAATTCAAAAAGATACATGCACCCCAATGTTTGTTCATTGCAGCACTATTAACAATAGTCAGGACGTGGAAGCAACATAAATATCCATCAACAAAAAAAAATGGATAAAGAAGATGTAGTACATATATACAATGGAATACTACTCAGCCATAAATAAGAATGAAATAATGCCAATTACAGCAACATGAATGAACCTAGAGATTACATGGGCTGCTCTGGTGTCTCATCAGTAAAGAATCTGCCTGCAACACAGGAAACATGGGTTCTATCCCTGGGTTGGGAAAATCCAATGGTGAAGGAAATGGTAACCCACTCCAGTATTCTTGCCTGGGAAATCCTATGGACAGAGGAATCTGGCGAGATATAGCCCATGAGGTCACAAAGAGTCAGACACAACTGAGCCATTGAACAGCAATGACAGGGATTATCACACTTGGTGAAGTTAGTCAGACAGATATCATATAAAGTCATTCACATGTGGAATCTAGAAAAAGAATACAAATGAACTGATTTACAGAACAGAAATAGACTCACAGACATAGAGAACAAACTTATGCTTAATAAAGCCAAAGCAAGGAGGGATAAAGGAGGAGTTTGGGATTATCAGATACGAACTATTATATTAAAATACTTTAAAAATACTTTTAATATAATATTAAAACTGTTATTATGTAATAACATTACGTAATATTACATAATACTATGTATAAAATAGATAATCAACAAGGACCTACTGTATAGCACAGGGAACTATGCTCAAAACCCTATAATGGAAGAGGATGTAAAAAAGGAATATATATATATAACTGATTCACTTTGCTGTATACCTGAAACTAACACAACGTTGTAAATCAACTATATTTCAATAAAAATTAACAATAAAATGATAGCAAGTACTTTCAGAGTCATAAGGCAATCTATAAGAACAGAGCTCAGGTGCCTGCCTTAGTGGTGGGTGGATGGTCAGGGGTGCACAACTCGTTAGAGTGGACACCATGCCCACAAGCTAGTCTTGCTGCAGGTTGGGCTCTGATGTTAGACCACCCATGTTCAGGTGCTGCCCCTCACCTTACAGCTGGGATCCTAGGTGAGTCCCTTCATCTCAAAGCTTCAGGTTCTCCATCTGTAAGGCAAGGATTGCCACAGGGTCTCCCTCCTAGGGTTGTTCAGAGTCATGGATGAAATAATCCACAGACAGTGTTTAGCTCAGCCAGGAAGAGAGTCAGAGCCCACAGGTGTCACTTTTCACTACACAGCCACGTCACAGGTACCTTCAGTCCAGGGTTCTTCCTCATCCGCAGCCTCCCCATCCACATGTCCGTCAGCAGCATCTGGCTGCAGGTGTGGGCGATGAAGTCCCGGTGTTTGGCTGCCACAGCCAGTTTGAGGCAGGTCGAATTGCTCCAGTTTTTCAGCTCATACGTCAATAGTTTCATGGCAATCTGCTCATCGTGCTTGTAGGACTGGTCCAGGAGCTCCACAGCCAGCTGGCCAAAGTCTCTGCCGAGACACAGATGGGAGCAGGTGAGGCAGTGACATCCACACACTTTGTTAGAGAGCCGTGTCCATGGGGACATCACGGAGCCACAGGACACCGAGTCCTTGACTCCCTGTCCTCTTCCAGCAGGGAGCTCCTTGGATGTCCCCAAGGGGACAGCCAGGGGCCAGGGTCTGTGCTCAGCCATGTCGGAGGCTGACTTCCACAGGCCCCATGAGGACAAGTCAGCAGGTTAATAAGTCTGGGGAGCCCTGGCTTAGAGAAGTGTGTCCACACTTTCATGAGTTTTACCTCCAGGTGCCCCACCGTGTTCTCACAGGGAAGACGGGAGGGAGGAGAATCCCCTCATACTGCCAGCCTGGGGGGGTGCGGGGAGGGTCCATTCTGAACTATGCCCAGAGCACTTCCTAACAAAACCTGCCCTGGGGAAAACTAGTTAACCAGAATTCAACCTACTGGTGTTTTATCAGAGCCTGACTGAGCTGAGGGTAGGGAAATACCCAGCTCCAGCCCCCTGTAGCCATCCTGTCCTACCTAAGAGGTCCTTGGGAAGATCAAGTCCAGGGGCATAGGTTCGCTAAGGCTGTACTCCTCTGAATGCATGTTTCCTTATGAAAATCAGTTTTGTTGTCTTTGCATTTAAGTTGTGTTTCCCAGAAAAAGAATCATGGACATAGAGAACACAGCAGTGATTGCCAGCTGGAACTGAGGAAGGGAGGGGGTGGGTAGTTGAGGTTAGGAGACATAAGTTTTTTATATAGGATGGATAAACAACAAGATCCTACTGTATAGCACAGGGAATTCAGTATCCTATGATAAACTGTAATAGAAAAGAATATAAAAAAGAATCACATGTATATATGTATATACTTTGTTGTACAGCAGAAATTAACACAACATTGTAAATCAGCTATATTTCAATAAAGATATACTGTCTAAAATCGTTTTTCCACAAATATCATGTATTAATGTATGTATGTGCAATCTAGAAAAATGGTATAGTTGATCTTATTTGCAAAACAGAAATAGAGACACAGACATAGAGAAAAAATATGGATGCCAAGGAGGAAGGGAAGGTGAAATGAATCAGGAGATTGGGGTTGACATATATACATAACTAGGTATAAAATAGATAACTAATGAGAACCTACTGTATAGCACAGGGAACTCTACTCTGCTCTATGGTGACCTGAATGGGAAGTAAATCCAAAAAAGAGGGGATACACATATAAGTGTAACTGATTCTCTTTGCTATACAGCAGAAAGTAACATGACATTGTGAAGCAACTATACTCCCATAAAAATTAATTAATAAAAAATTGCATTTCCATAGTTTGCACAAGAAGACAGTCAACAAAAACAATGATGGTCCAGAAACATCTCAGAAAGACAGAAGGAAAAATATTGACACAATGGACAAAGCATTTGATGAACAAGCTTTAAATGTGATAATACTTAAGTGAGAACCTCATTTGCCTCCCTTCCTGGAAAAGGGGTGGTTCTCGGGACACCTGGGTCTCCCTGAGCTCTATGTTCCCTCCAGACGCTCACTTTGAATTGTTGTCCAAGTCCTGGGAGATGTCGTCCACCAGCTCGCTCTCGGAGGACTCGTGGGCCATGGACTTGTAGAGCTTGCATGCCACTAGGGCCTTGGCCATGCTCTCCTCCCCCCGCTGCCAGAGGAAGACTGCCATCTTTTGGCGCTTCATCAGCACAGCCCACACCATCAGCTCGTGGAAGGGATACTGGAATCGACTCACGGCCGGGTCGTCCACATCAATGTCCAACTCCTCCTCCTTTTTCTTCTTCTTCTTTTTCTTCCCTTTGGCTGGTGGCTCGTCATCCTGAGGGGAGAGAAACACCTTTACTATAGTTCTGCCATAAACATGCAGTAAAGGGTTTCAGGATCAACTGGAAGAAGTTGCTGTCTGCAGGAACAGAGAGACTTCTTAAGTACATGTGTGTCCACCCATCATATGAATTCTTTTGAAAAGATGCACATGTTTATTAAAGGAAGTAAACCATTGAAAATCAAATGAGCTGAAAAGGCGTAATACTGTTTGAAGTTTATACTCCTGGGTTGGCAGGTTTTTGTGTTTTTTTTTCCAGAAGCCTCTAAAAATTGAAGAGAAACTGCAAAACTGAAAACAAAGAAAACACTTCAATCCAAATCACCCCATAGGAAAGATAAAGCCCAAAACTCATTTCCTGAGGGATGTCTTTAAATATCAACACTTTGAACCAGAGATTAATAGGAAAAATGTAGAAGGAGGTAGAGAAAAATATCTTGGTTTTCTACCAATGGTTTAGGCTTCCCAGGTGGCTCAGTGGTAAAGAATCCACCTACCAATGCAGGAGACACAGGTTTGATCTCTGGATTGGGAAGATCCCCTGGAGGAGGAAGTGGCAACTCACTCCAGTATTCTTGGTTGGAGCATCCCATGGACAGAGGAGCCTGAAGGCCTACAGTCCATGTGATCTCAAAAAATCAGACACGACTGAGTATGCACACACATCTACCAAGAGTTTAAGGAAGCAGGAATTCTATTTTAAATGAGATTTGTCTTTTCATGGATGTGTTATAAATGGAAGGCCAATGCTTTCCATTTCCAAGGGATTATGAGGAGTCATTCTAATAATAAAGCAGGATCCTAAAGGAAGGCATTAATGACTGGGAGAACTGGTGGTGAAGCATGCATGTTGCATGGAATCATTCAGAAAACTAAGTTCATGGCATCTGGTCCCATCACTTCATGGCAAATAGATGGGGAAACAATGGAAACAGTGACAGACTTTATTTTTTGGGGTTCCAAAATCACTGCTGATGGTGATTGCAGCCATGAAATTAAAAGACACTTGCTCCTTGGAAGAAAAGCTATAACCAACCTAGACAACATATTAAAAAGCAGAGACATTTCTTTGCCAACAAAGTTTCGTCTAGTCAAAGCTATGGTTTTCCAGTAGTCACGTATGGATGTGAGAGTTGAACTGTAAAGAAAGCTGAGCACCAAAGAATTGATACTTTTGAACTGTGGTGTTGGAGAAGACTCTTGGGAGTCCCTTGGACAGCATGGAGATCCAACCAGTCAATCTTAAAGGAAATCAGTCCTGAATATTCGTTGGAAGGATTAATGCTGAAGCTGAAACTCCAGTACTTTGGCTACCTGATGAGAAGAGCTGACTCATTTGAATAGACCCTGATGCTGGGAAAGATTGAGGGCAGGAGAAGGGGACGACAGAGGATGAGATGGTTGGATGGCATCATCGACTCAATGGACATGGGTTTGGGTGGACTCCAGGAGTTGGTGATGGACAGGGAGGCCTGGCGTGCTGCAGTTCATGGGGTCGCAAAGAGTCGGACACGACTGAGTGACTGAACTGAACTGAACAGACTATTCCAGGCTGAGGATCCAGTACCCAATAGGATAACAGAAATGGATTTCTGCTCTTTTGCGAATAGCTTTCTCATCAGTGACCTTCTTTTATTCTCACACTGATCCTGAGAGGTTGTTAATGTCTTCCAGTCAGTCAGATGAGGAAGTTGTGGCTTAAAGTCTGAATAATTTGCCCACATTCACATGAACGGAGTGGCTGGGCATGGGGCAGGAAAAGGGGTGGAGCCTGACTCTTCAATTCTTATGGCAAGTAGTTCATGACGAAACCAAGTTTTATAACCTCATTATGAGGTATTCTGATGTTTTTATTGAAACTATCATGTCTTGCCTTGAATTTAAATGTTTTTGTTCTAATTTGTCCCAGTAAAACTGCAGTTTCAGTCATTTAGGGAATATTGAAATTAAAAAGGAAATGTAGCTTTATTTTCAAGATTATATCAATTCAAATAAAAATCCACTAAGGACTAGTGAAATATTGTAAAACAGAGCTTTTTTTTTTCACCACACTACAAGGCATTCAGGACCTTATTTCCCTGACCCGGGATCAAAGCTATGCCCCCCTGCAGTGGAAGCACAGTCCTAACCACTGGAGTCTGCCAGGGAAGGCCCAAACAGAAACCCCTTTAATCCTATCTTTCCATAGTATATTATTAAAATATTAATTGTATGAAACCTCTCATAAAATAATTTTAATATTGCTATAGGCAGAAAATAACCGACAAGGGGTTCATTTCCCTAAAGTGCATGAAGAGACACAAAGTAACAAGTAAAAGAGAAGCAACCCAATAGAATAACAAAAGATATGAACTGGAAGTTAAGAAGAAATGAATCCATACACAATCACAAATCACAGTAAGAGCCTCTAAACACCCCTCAGTCAGAAATTAACTTGAAAAAACTAGCACATATAGAAGCAAATTGAATAATAAAATTACTAAGTTTGATCTGACAGTATGATGAAAGCGAAAGTCACTCAGTCCTGTCCGACTCTTTGTGACCCCATGGACTATACAGTCCAGGGAATTCTCCAGGCCAGAATACTGGAGTGGAGTATGAAGTGAAGTGAAGTGAAGTGAAGTCGCTCAGTCGTGTCCAACTCTTTGCGACCCCATGGATTGTAGCCTACCAGGCTTCTCCATCCATGAAGGGAGTGGAGTATACTGGAGTGGAATAGTGGAGTATTTCCCTTTTCCAGGGGATCTTCCCAACCCAGGGATCAAGCCCAGGTCTCCTGCAGAGAAGTATATAATTGTGCCCAACAAACTGAGAATATACATTTGTTTCCACACACATGGATCATTAACAAAATTCCACCTGGCATTATTCCCCAATTCTTTTGAGATTTTCAATCTCAACAAGTTCTAGATATTGGAAATCATATAGTCTATACCCAAAGAGTAATACTAGAAATCAATGAGACTAAGATAACCACAATAACAAAAGTCTGTATCTAGGCAACTTAAAATACGCTTATAATTAACTCTTGGATTAAGGAGGAAATTATAAACTGTTTAGAAATGAATATCAATAAAAGCTCTACTTACCGAAACCTGTAGGATACCATGAAAAACAATGCTCAGAGAAAAACGTATACTCTTCATGAATTTATTGAAATATAAGGAATATTGAAAATGGGCAAACTTTACTTTCAAATTGAGTCAATAAAAATAATATAATAATACAATAATACAATAATGAATAAAAATTAAAATATATTAATAAAATAGAAAACAGAAAAAAAGAAAGTTGCTGAATTAAGCAAAAATACCAATGAAATCCAAAGACAGGAATGGTTAAGAAGAAAGGGAGGAGATACAAAAAAAAGAAAAAACTGGAACAAGAAATGGTACACAATTAAAGATACAGAGTAGACTGAAAAAATTAAAATACTCTGTAAAGGTTTATGGGGCGTCCCAGGTGGCTCAGTGGTAAAGAATCCCCCTGCCAATGCAGGAGACATGGCTTCAATCCCTGGGTCAGGAAGATCCCCCGGAGAAGAAAATGGCAACCCACACCAGTATTCTTGTCTGGGAAATCTCATGGACAGAGGAGCCTGGCAGGCTACGGTCCATGGAGTCACAAAGAGTAGGACACAACTGAGAGACTAAACAACAATAAAGATTTACAACAGTGAACTTGAAAGTCTAGATGAAGTAAATTGTTTTCTATGAAAATATAATTGACCAAAGCTGACTCCAGAAAATAGAAAGCCTCGATGAACTCCTATTATAAAAGTTATTACTAAGGTGGTGAAAAATGGGCCTCTTGTCAGACTGGACAGGCTATTATATAGGAGAGTTCCACCAAGGCTTCACCCAGTAGATAAACCCTATGTGATACAACCAATCCGAGAGACTAAGGGATTATGCAACTCTGACTTTCATAACCCTTCTAGTTATGCTGAAGGTCAGTGTCAACTGTGAACAAGAATCAAAACCTTCTACCCTGAATCCATACAGAAATTGGGAAGCTACTTAACTCATAAATTTATTTGAGAAGAATCTTTACAATACTCAGTCTTAATATTGTGTTATGGTACTTCCTCTACTCATTTGTGTATTTTCATGTCTAGTGATTTGTTCTTAAGTTCCCTTGTTAAGGTTATTTCTGGATATTTTTGTCCCATTATGAGGAAACTTTGCTGATTTTCCTGGACTTTCTAGATACAAAATATTTTTCTGCCAATAATAATTTCCTCCTCCTTTTATGTATTCTTCTTTTATTTATGTTTTCATGTGGTAAAATTTCCAGAACACTTTTAAAAACCAGAGGGGATAATGATGCCAACAATAATGGGTGAGCTTGATTTGTTCTTAATTTTAATAAAAGTCAGTTGGATGGCTTTTACCTTTTAAAAAAATGTCTATGACCTTTGAATATAATCTGACTAAATCATCCAAGTAAATCTTGGTGTGTGGTAAAGTGGATTTATTCATGGAAAACAAATTCACTCAATTTTATGTTAAATACAAAATGAAGAGGCTCCATGATACCATGAAACCATTGGAAACAAGTCCTACTTACTTCCATTCCCAGAAGTTTGAGAGCTTTCGGCTGCATAATGAAAAGGGAGGGAAAAAAATTCAATGGAATCAGATAACTGAAGTTACAATACTGTGAGTTGTACATTAGTGATATCGTTAGTAGATTAATAATAGATTAAAAAGTACTTTGGGTAGGGAGGTTCAAGAGGGAGGGAACATACACGTATACCTATGGTGGATTCGTGTTGAAATATGGCAGAAAGATTATATTGTAATATTGTAAAGCAATTAATACTGTACAACCCAATATTATAAAGTAATTATCCTCCAATTAAAAATAAATAAAATTTTTTAAGTACTTTGTATAATTAACAATGAAGGACAAGCCTAAGGAAAGCATTTGTCCTTCACAGTTAATGATATAAAGTACTCTTTCATCTATTAAAATCTATTTTCCTTTCCTCTGCTTCTGTCATTCCAGGTCAGGTGAGAAGAGAGACGTGCAGACACGGGACCCCACCCCAGGGAGAACCACAGAAGTTCACCCACAGAAGCGCAGACACTGAGCTATGGGGCTCTGAGTGGGGCGAAGGGAGGGCTTCATGGGAGGTCTCACACATGAGTTGGGCCTGGGATACACATGGGCTTTTGAAGTGGGGAGACACAGCTGACACATTAGTAGAGTTTGTTCTGAAAGTGGTACATGGTCACCCACAACAGGGTGTGGATAATGAGGGAGAGCCTTAGACGCTTCAATCAGGAGCTTGACGGTGATTCCTCGGGCACTGGGGAGACTTGGGAGTTTGTGAGCAGGGAATGCCCCGTCAGGATCCTCATTTTGGAGGATCAGGGTGGCTCCACAGGTAGGAAGCATGGAAGAAAGCAGAGACAAAGGAGCCCAGGAGGAAGACAGCTGTGAACAAAGGATGGGGCAGGTGCAAGTGCTGGGCTGTGAGCCTGATGGGTGGAGGGAAGAAAGATGCTTCACACCGAAAGCCACCGCAGGAGGACTGGAAGGTGTGTGGGGGGATGGGGTAATGAGCTTGGCTGTGAACAGGCTGAGTTATTGTGGAGGTGAGCAAGGAGCCATGTGTGACCCTGGGAACCACAGAATAACTGCGTGTCCACTGAGCTCTACCCTCTTGGGTCCAAACAGGTTGTTGTAGAGGGTCCGGAAGCTCTTGCGTGTGTAGTTGCAGCGGTAGGCGCCACCCATGAGGTACTCCAGCACGAGCCCGATGTCTATGAGGCTGATGTGGTAGTCAGGAGGAAGGTTGCCCTGTAAGGAAAGGAGCCATGTCTCAGGCCCTGCGAGAAGGTACCTGCGGCCTGGATTGCATCACACACCTTGGCGTCGTGGCCATCCCTGCTGACGATGTGGGTGTTAACGGCACCAATGGGACATTAAACAATCTTCTATCTGTTACTACAGGATGGAGGGAGATAAGAGGGTGAACCATGTTCCAGAAAATAGGTTAAACTTCCCTATGAGATGAGTTAGAGACCCGCAGGGCTGTAGGGGAGAGGCCTGGGCTTGTCTGTGCGCTTGGACAGGATGACCAGAAATGTGCATTTCAACATAAAGGAAAGAGGGACCTTCCCAGTGGTCCTGAGGTTGAGACTCTGCCTTCCACTGCAGGGGGCACCATTATAGTCCCTGATCTGGAAACTGAGGTCCCACATGCAACAGAGTGAGGCCAAAAAATAAAAATAAAGAATATATATATAAAGAATGTATATGTATGTATAACTACATCAGTTTGCTGTACAGCAGAAAATAACACAACATTGTAAATCAGCTATACTTCAATAAAAAATTGATTAAGGGAAAAAATCATTGAGGACAGATGGTGTAGCTGGTACAAGCCTTCCTTGATGTGAGTAGATTTGCCCTGTTGAGAAGGTGCTTTGACAGCTGCTTGCAGGGGAGAAGGTGTCTTCAGGGGCTGGCATCCAGATTTTCTACAGAAGGAGGGAGTGAGCGCATGATGGGCAGGAGGACTCTGTGAAAGGTAGGGGAGGACAGGACACTCCTGGGACTGGGACCTTTCTGAAGAAACCTCCATGTGGTACCCCAGGATTTTCTGAGGGACACCAAAGAATTCAGTAAGAACACAAACTACCTGAGGTGGCTGGGAGCTCATGAAGGGGCAGACTTGTGCTGCAGAATGGATGAGGCTGTGTTAAGATGAAGGCAGGGTGTGGGCAGAAGGGAGAGGAATTGAGAGCATCCATACACCTGTAAGCCAGTCACTCATGCCTCTGGGCAGCTGACTGATCCAGGAGGCAGAGCTGACCCATCCATTATAAGGATGCTATGCAAAAGCAAACAAACAAACAAACAAAAAAAGGATGCTATGCTATGTGCCATTTCTGGCTTGGTTAACTTCCTGCAGCTGAAATGATGGCAGTCCATCATTGAGGCTGGGGTCCATCCCATTGAGACTCTGTTGTTGTTATTTAGTCACTAGTCCTGTTAGACTCTTTGTGACCCCATGGACTGCAGCCCGCCAGTCTTCTCTGTCCATAGGATTCTCCAGGCAAGAATACTGGAGTGGTTGCCATTTCCTTCTCCACTCATGGAGACTACACTTTTCGAATGTCCTTCTTGGGCACAGGGACCTCATCCTTCACTCAGGCTTTGCAAGTTTGTTCAGCCCCCATCGTGATCCTTGATCAAGTCAGGGATTTCACATGAGGGGACAAGATACAGCTCTGCCTCGGTGAGCTTGTTGTTTGTGGAGGGGAGGGGGTTAAGGGCCAAGCCACCCAAATCTCGACACAGCAGCATCTTCAGACCCCCACTCTGCCTGGGTGGGCAGGTGAGAAAGGGCTTCCTGGGGAGGGTAACACTGAGGCAGAGCAGGGGCTGCTGCAGCCGAGGGTGGAGAGCACTGCAGATATGACCATGCTCGGCCCCAGGACAGAACACATGAGTGTATGGCAGACCCCGTACAGTGGGCATGTGATGGGCCCAGTGGGTATAAGTGTCTTAGAAGGAGCCTTAACTTCATGTGGGAGATGTGGGAGGCTTTCAAGAGAGGGTGTCCTGTGTCTGGGGAGGGCAGGAGGAGAATGATTGAAGCCACTTAAGTGAGACCTGGTTGGTTGGATCTACACTTGAGTAGCAGTGGCTTTTGACTCTCAGCGCTTACAAAACTAAGAAATCTGGGAAAGTGGGAAACAAGGGCAGGGCAATCCCTGGTCCCTCTTGGTCCCCAGACCCAATGATTCTGCTCTGATCCAATGAGCATTTGTGAGATAGGCTGGGACCAGGGACCCTTCGCTGCAATGCTTGCACCTGGACACACCTCTCCTTGAACAACAAAATACAAAGAAACTGCGTGGGACTAAAAATAATCGCATGCATGTGCAGTTGGGGCAAATTCTGGACCCAAAAGTACAAAGAGACCAAAAATTGCAACTGCCTCTTTTGAGAAGCCTGGAGCAAAAGCAGGGTACTGCCCCCTTCACACAGCACCACCTAAGAGGTGAGCAAACCACCTAAGTCACTCTTCCAGCCCTACCCTGGACACACACCTACTCTCACTCCACTGCCTAAGGAACCAGCTTGCCCTTCCTCAGGAAGCAAGCAAGGGAAACTGTTGTTTGTTCTCAGTCCCCACTGCTGCAGCAAGAACCCCAATAAAGCCTCACCTGAATTCCTTGTCTGGCCTCTAGCCCATCTCTATTGATTGAGGAAGCTCAAGAAGCCAGATTGGTAATATTTGTAGTAAAAGCCACATTCTCACCTCAGTAGAATCAGATATGTTTGAAGTCTGACCAGTCTGTCTGGGACTCTGACTGAAGGCCCTTTCCTCCGGTTTGAGTTGTTCCCTCCTGCTCAGAACACGAACACCCGTCCTGCACTCCGCATGCCAGGGGTTGCTTCTGGCAGCATGAATCATTTTGTGTTAATTCTGTGTTAACCTGGTCTGATCCTCCAGCCTGCGGCGGGCGGCAGGACCCCAGAAACTCCACGACAGAACAGGGAGTAGATGGGATCCTACAAGAGTGTAAGGGGTTGTAGTCCTGGAAAGTATGGTGGGGCCATGAAGTGGAGGTGTCTATCACTGTCTAATGAGGAAATAGGGCCAAGAACTGTTGCATGGGACACGCAGATTGACATGAGGCCTGTCCTGCTAGGACTTCTGGAAAGAGGCACAGGGAAGGAGTGAGAGCAAATCTGAAACTTGTAGAGTACGGAGGCCCTGGGCAGCAGAGAGGAACTTGCTGTCCCCCCCAGCCTCCACCCCTGGCCGGGGCCAACCTACCACCAAACAGTCATTTAGCGCAAGCCGATTGTGTGTGGGATGAACACCATACTTGAAGAAGATGACATTTGAAAAAAGTAAACTCTTTTTATGGAAAGAGGAATTCATGATTTCTTATGCCGCCAATAAAATGACACCACATTTGGAAATTTAAAAATTGCTCTAGAAAATGTCTTATTGAAAGAAGTGAACAGGTAAACGACTAGAGAACAGCAGACTGGGACTTGCCTGGTGGTCCTAGGGTTAAGACACCAAACTCCCAATGCAGGGGGCACAGGTTCAGTGTATATATATATATATATATATATATATATATATACACACACACACACACACACACACACACACACACACACATATATAAACAAAAGCAAAGACAAAAAGAGAAGACTGACCTTTTTTACATCCCTCACCAGCAAATGAAGTGTATTGGGTGGACCCAGTCTCTGAAAGAGAAGCATTCAGCCATGTTAAACGTGTTTTTCTCTTCAACTCTTACAGCAAAATCTGACTCTATAGAATTAATGAATTTGTGAAAACTGGGATGTCATCCACTATCAGCCTATGTCTTTTACAACACAGGACTGGTCATGGGTAAGAAGTATCCCGCATGTTCAACAATATGTTAAATACTTTTTATCAAATTATTTTAAAGAGACTCTCTCGGGGCACCATATCATCCTAAAAGTTCACCAAGTTTTAGCAAGCAACGGCTCACTTCTATGAATTAAAATTTTAGAACAGGGGAGGAAATAAATGTACATCTCAAAATTCGTATGGTGAGAATACAAGCCAAGAGGATTTCATCCAAACACTGTGATTCTCATATCAGGAGCTCCTTGGTGTGCAAACTCAATTTTCCATTTTTATCAAAGCCTCATAAAAAGTGGAAGTCCCCAGGAAAAAATGACTGCTCACCCCGGGAAATTTTCACTCTGCTAATGACTCCAGGAGCTAGACTCTTCCTTTGTAGAAACTTGTCCTCATGCACCATCCCTGAGTTAATGGTACAGATGGGGCGGGGGGCTGGGTAGCCTGGCAGAGGTGGGTGAGAATGGGACCCTCGCCGAGCCCACTGGTCAGGCGAGAACACTGGCCCTTAAATGATGCATGCTTAGACACTCAGTCATGTCCGACTCTTTGCAACCCCCAGGACTGTAGCCCACCAGGCTCCTTTGTCCTTGGGATTCTTCAGGCAAGAATAGTTGAGTGGGTTGCCATTTCCCTCTCTCTTCCACTAAAGCCATGTTCTGATGGGGCTAGCTCCCATCCACTCTCCCTCCTTCGCGATCACTCACTGTGTTATAAAGCTCTTCCAGCCTTGGGATGGTGAGAAAATGTTGCATGTTGACTCCATTTTCAATCAGGAGCTTCACAAAGTCCACACGGTCTAAGACCAGTGCGTCCAGCATGGCCTGCTCCAGAGCATTCACCTGTGTGAGCCCGGGAGAGGGGCGTGAGTACCTGGGGGGTGCTGGGTAGGGGCAAGTTCACAGGGCAGCTGAGGAGGCATCGAGAACTGGACCCTCCCCTCGAGGAGGCTGACTGGCTCCGAGGCCCCTGTGAGCACAGGAAAGGGACCAGAGCTGTCCCACCTACCCAGTTCAGCAGCTCAAGCTTCCGGGGGTCAGTTTCTTCCTCTACCTCCTCCTTCACCTTCCCTTTCTTCTTGCCTTTTCCTTTTCCTCTTGCCGCCTTGGTGGTCGCCGTAGGTGGCTTCTTCTCCTTCTCTGTGGCCTTGCTATCCGTCGGGGGTGCCAGGCTTCCCAGGGGCTGCAGTTCAAGCAGGCAGGGTTGGGAAAGGGATTAAAGCTTCCCCTTGTCCCAGGACCAGCGCCTCCCCTCTGCATGCACATGTGCGCGCTCACACACACACGTCCAGGTACACAGGAGCACAAACATGCACGCACACACTCGTGCAAGCATGAGCACACAGACTCAGACATGCACACAGGCAACACAGGCACACATACTTGTGAGCACACACGCACTTAGCTGTCACAGGCCAGGTTGTCTGGTGGCAAAGACCCTGATCTCGCGACCCTCTATTACTTATATGCTTGAAGTACATTCATGTACTTTAAGTGGCTGTTTCAGTTGATGTGTGTTTTTGTCCAAAAGAAAGGGTGCTGAGAGGTAAATTCAAATGCGCCAAAGAGAAGTGTCTGTAGAAACTGATGGAAATGAGAGAAAACAACTGTGAGGGGCCGGAGATGATAGGTGAAACCACAGATGCTTGTTTGGAGAGAAGCCTGGACTGAGGTCTCCTGGGTGTAACTGACAGGCACATGTTTCCAGAGAAACAAGGGCCTTTGAAAGATACTATAAGAAAGGGAATTTCACTCAATGGACAGTAATAAAAGAATAGTCCTGATGATGTAAGGAATATGCTAAGAAGAAAAGAGAGAATCAATTAGAAATGCAAGGAAGGGGCTTTAGGTGGCTCCATGGTAAAGAATCTGCCTGCTAATGTAGGAGATATAGGTTTGATCCCTCGTCCGGAAGATCCCACATACCGCGGAGGAACTAATCCCATGTGCCCCAACTACTGAGCCTGTGCTCTAGAGCCCGTCCTCCACAACAAGAGAAACCACTGTAATGAGAAGCCTGTGCACCACAACTAGAGAGGAGCCCCCACATGCTGCAACTAGAGAAAGTCCACGTGCAGCAAATGAAGACCCAGCACAGTCAACAATACATAAATAAATAAAATTATTCTTAAAAAAAGAAATGCAAGGGAAACCAAACATCTATCTATTCAAATAAGGCATGGTCCAAATATGAAGGAAACTCAAAGGTCGCGTAATTTAAACAATGGATGGACTGTAAGAACCTTCATGCTTGTTGTGTTTTCCTTTGTATGGCCCTGATGACTCACCCAGGGTTACTTTTCTTTCTCTTTGAGTTCAGCTGTAATGTTAGGCTCAGCTGTGAACAATCTGTACAGAATCACAGTAAAATCTGCTGGTTTTTCCATTTTTAGAATTAACATAAAGACCTAGTATGGAGGATGGAAGAGGGCGAAATGAGTAAAGATTGTTGAAAGGTATAAACTCCCAGTTATAAAATAAATGCCATGGGATGTCATGTACAACATGGTGACTACAGCTGATAATTCTGTGTTGTGTATTTGAAAGTTGCTAAGACAGTAGATCTTAAGAGCTCTCATCACAAGAAAAAAAATTGTAACTGTGTGTGGTGACGGATGGTAATTAGACACATTGTAGTGATTTCATAATATATACAAATATTGAATCACTATATTGTACACCTGAAACGAGTATGTCATATGTCAATTATATCTCAATTAAAAACAAAATATAAACAGCAAGGACCTAATATATAGCACAGGGAACTATATTCAATGTCTTGTAATGCCTGGGAAATCTCACGGACAGAGGAGCCTGGTGGGCTATAGCCCACAGGGTCACAAATAGTCTGACACTACTGAGTGACTAAAATATAACAGCAACAAATAAGTATTAATGGAAAAGAATCTGAAAAAAAATAAATACAGATCTATACAAATGTACAACTGAATCACTTTGCTATAAACATGAAACTAACACAACATTGTAAATCAACCATACTTCAATTTTAAAAAAATGTATGTCTTAAATGAGAATTACATTAGGAATTTGTTTGAAGCTTGTCCCTCCTTCATTGAGAATACAAAATATATTTGATCATAAATAAATATATACCATAATGAGATACTACTACTTATCACTAAAGAAGCTAAAATTTTTTAAAAACCTGCCAATACCAAGAAACCCTCTTACGTTGCTCATGGGAATGTAAAATGCTACAGCTCCCTTGGAAAGCAGAACACGGGGACAGCTGAGGGGCTTTCAGAGGTGGGCGTGAGGGCTCTGCTTTTCATGGCATGCTCTGATTTGTTATTTGCTTTTCAAACCATATTTATGCATTCACTGAATAATAGAAAGCAAAGAACACTAAGCAGCATGAAAATGGAAGTCGGAGAGAATTCAATGCCAACATAAGAGTGAAAAATGAAGTTATAAAATATTGACAGTATTGCTGAATTTTTATAAGGGGAGGTGGTCATGAGTGATTGTTTCCTTCATTTTGCTTATCTATATATTCCACACTTTCTAGAAACTGCTTATTGCTTCTGTAACAGGAAAGTGGGTGCAGGCCATTGCTTCAGGCAGGCACCCTGTGTGTGTGGTGTGTTCCCCAGGTCAGGCCCTTTCTGTAATCCTGAAAGCCTGGCTCTCTCGGTGTGGCTGACTCAGAGCTATGTCTTCAGAAAGCTGCCCCTTGAAGAGAAAAACCAACCGAGATCTGGGATTCCTCTTCCTGAGTAGACGGTCTCCAGAGCTCATGACACTGCCCTTCCTGCCAGCCCTGTCTCGGAGCTCTTAGCGTCTCTGCCTCATCACCACTCATGGAGCAGTTCACTTTGCTTTAAAATCCTTTACCAAGAGTAGACAAACCAGGAGATTCAAAACGAATTAAAATATGTAAGGTGTGGTAGTGTTCTTTTAACTTGTGTAGCTCAATAAACAACATGCATAAACCACTCACCAAACTTCTATCTTATTCCTTTAATACACTTCTCTGATTCCTTACCCCTGGAGGAAGAAATGGCAACCCACTGCAGTATTCTGGCCCAAAAAATTCCATGGGCAGAGGAGCCTGATGGTCTACAGTCCATGGGGTTGCAGAAAGTTGGACATGACTGAAGCCACTGAGCACATACGCACACACTGATTGCTTAAATTCTTCACACTAATTGGATAAAGGATAACTGTGAAAATGAAATGTACTTTGAAGGTACGTGCCAGGCCTGTTTTGAGAAATAAGGTTTTTAAAGTTCAACATGAACCCTCTAGATATTCCAAACCCGTTTTTGAAGCAGCAGAGCCCTAATTTTGCAAACAAAAAATTTCCCCAAGCCCCAATACACAAAACCTGTCAAAGAAGCTGCTTGTTAAAAAAAATAGTTTAAAAAAATTGAAGTATATTTGATTTACAACGTTCTGCTAATTTCTGCTGCTGCTGCTGCTGCTGCTAAGTCGCTTCAGTCATGTCCAACTCTGTGCGACCCCATAGACGGCAGCTCACCAGGCTCCTCCGTCCCTGGGATTCTGCTGTACAGGAAAGTGATTCAGTTGTAAACATACACGTATATTACATTTTAAAAATTCTTTTCCATTATGATTTATCCCAGGAGACTGAATAGAATTCCCTGTGCTGTACAGTTGGACCTTGCTGTTTATCGATCCTAGATATAACAGTTTGCATCTGCTAATCCCAAACTCCCAGTCCATCCTTCCCCTACTCCTGTCCCACTTGGTAACCACAAGTTGTAAAGAAGCTGCTTTGATTGAAGGAGCAGGAGGCTGCTGAGAGCTGTTCATCATGCCTGCTCATATCTTCACACACACGCCCCCACACCACACCCATGTACAACCACACACACACACACAGATCCCACAGACATACACTGCATGCACAGTAAACCACACACCACACATCCACACATACATTTCACACCCTACACACATTCTGCACATAGATAGCCATATACAATACACCAAACCACATACAAATACACCACATCCCAAAGACTACACACAAAGGTCACACACACAGTCCCCTAGCCCTCTGGGGTTTCATGGAACATAGTTTAAAAATCAATGTTTTCAATGCAATCATTGTATTTCATTTTAATGAGCAATCTTCTTTCTTCTTCTTAAAAGTGTAAAAACCCAGGTTCACCAGCAATGATAAAATATTTAGTGCTCTTTATTCAAGAGCACTGGTTTGAATCTGAAGTTAGTGCCAGGAGCTGTTATTTCTTGCTGGTTCATTGAAATGACACAGCAACATCTCCTAATAATCCTAACAACTAGACATTGTTGGTGTTAGTCACTCAGTCGTGTCCGACTCTGCAACACCATGGGCTGTAGCCTGCCAGGCTCCTCTGTTCATGGGATTCTCCAGGCAAGAATACTGGAGTGGGTTGTTGTGCCCTCCTCCAGGGGATCTTCCTGATCCAGGGATCAAATCACATCTTATGCATTGCAGGCAAATTCTTTACCATCTGAGCCACCAGGGAAACGGCCAGACATTGGGTCATCAGAAACCCCAGAAGATTTTCTGAGATCCACAGCACAAGGGAGCTTGTACTAATACACCCTCTGTACAAAGTCATGACAAACAGTATAGATTGAAAACACTTAGTTTCACCGGCCAGCGGGGCCCAAAGACAAAGATCTGACTTCGAGCTATGTCCACACGGTTCCAAGCCAGTGCCAAGCTCAGCTGGTCTGGAGCTGATGCATTTGTTCCTGGAAGTCAAGAGACGGGACAGTTATCACCTCATGCCTGGACTGTAGCAGGTTGTGGGGGAAGGAGCTGGGCAGAGAGCATGGTCTTCCACAGGCTGGTTCAGCATCTCACCCTTTTCTCTGGCCCCCAAGTGACTCAGTATTTTTGGAGAGCTGGCTGGGAGGAGGATTGAGGCAACCTCTTTCCATGCTAAGAAAGAGGTTTCTGTTCCCAGAGGGAACAGAGGAGGAAGCCAGTGACCCCAGTTTCCTATTCTGCAAGAGGGCAGGAGCCCTGGGGCCACCCAGACACCTGCCAGGCCAGGTCAAGGGGCACTGCTCCTCCAGGTCAAAAGGGAGCACAGTCCAGCGTACCAGCCCCTACTGCAGGGAGACCAGCTCAGTAACACCAGGAGGCTGGGGTCCCAGGGGGGACCCCTGCCCCTCTCTCCTCCAGCACCCTCCCCTTCACAGTGGAGGAGGGAGGTGACCCCTCAAGCAGCCAGGTGGCAGCCTGTCGTTAGGAGAGTCTGGGAAAACTGACGAAGCGCTGTGAGACGCAGGGAAAACAAATGAAAAATCATTTCATGCTTACCCTCTCTGAGCTGAAACCTGTCATGAGCTAGCTACTAATGAAAACTGGTTCTTAGCCATCAAGAACCAGTGGTCCATTGCTCTCTCCTCCCAGAAAAGTCCCCCTCCAAAGAACCCACTTGGAACCTCATCATGTTACCACGGCTTTAGACTACAGTAACTCTAGGCAGCCTGGCCAGCTCAGGGTTCCATCCCCAGCAGACACATTTCCTGGTGGGAGGAGGTTGCAGGGGGAGGGTTTCCTGGCCAAGAGTGGGGCCTGGGGAGGCTAGCACAGAATGGACAGGAGGGGCCATTTCCGAGAGCTCACCTTTCAGCAGGGCAGTTAAAATCGCCATCTCGATGTCTTGCTGGCCCTCAGAACCCATCCTAAACACAGTGATCTAAAAATAGATTAATCATGAAAAGAGTAAGTAAAGCAAAGTGGAAATTGAGAGGGAGAAGTGGAATGTTGTTTAAAAAAAGGACCTCAAAGGCCAATGCTAATACAACCATCCCCAGAGCAAGGGGATTTTCCATCAGGGCCTTCTGATTTCCAGAAGGGACAGCATTTTGAATCCTCACCTGGATCTTTTTTATTCTTCACCCCACCTGGAGCTGAGGGAGCCCATGCAGGACTTGCATGCTAATATCTAAATGGCTACTGAAAGTGACAAAGGCATCTCTACTCAGATTTGTAGGAAATTTGTAGATTTAAAATTTTGAAGAGTGCCTGTGTAACAAGAGTGTGTCTTCCTTATAAGTATAATTAAGGAGGTAAAAGTCTTCTCAGGTGGCTCAGACTGTAAAGAATCTGCCTGCAATGTGGGAGACCCAGGTTCCATCCCTGGGATGGGAAGATCCCCTGGAGAAGGGAATGGCAACCCATTGCAGTATTCTTGCCTGGAGAATCCCATGGACACAGGAGCCTGGAGGGCTACAGTCCATGGGGTCGCAGAGTCAGACACAACTGAGTAACTAACACTTTCACTTTCCCCTTGAAGGAGGCAAAGGGTAGAAAATAATGAGGGTGTTTGGTAGAATTTTCTAAGAACACCTGCAAGCATGGTATATATCACTCCTCAGTGCTTTATTTATTTAATTTTTCTTTTTTTTTTTAAATTTTTTGGCTGCACTACACAGCATGTGGGATCTTAGTTCCCTGACCAGGGATCAAATCCAACCAAGCCCCCTGCAGTGGAAGCATAAAGTCTTAAGCATAGGGACCACGAGGGAAGTCCCTGTGACTCCAACACTTTTAAATCTCATCGATGACATCAGCCTCAGAACTGGTGGGATGTGGCCTGAGGTGCCCTGACACACACAAGATCCGATGCACCTGTATCCCTACTCTGAGGAGAACCTGCCTGTGCTTTGCCTGCTTCCCTCACATGGACAGAATCGCCAGCTGGGTCAGGATCTGTAAACTGCCTCTTGGAAAAGCCTGAATGGAAATAGGAACAACTTCATCCTGCACACAGAGGCAGCATCAGAAAGGAAACAATTCTCTCTGTGGAGCTGCCTAGAGAATCCACTCAAAACACTCACCAGCTCTTTCTTCTTCATGCATTCCATGATCATCGCAAACAGCTGATGTGACTGTGTCTTGTTGTAATTAAACGTTTTCTGAATGGTGACTATAAGCTGGTCTCTGAGGGAGTCATTGATTATCCTGTTTGAAGGAGATGGAGAAAAGAAGAAAACACAGATGAAATCCACGTGAATAAATCTGTATGAGTCAGGGGTGCCCAGCTTCCAAGATCTAATAATGCCTGATGATCTGAGGTGGAGCTGATGTAATAATAATAAAGGGCACAATCAACATGATTGTGCTTGAATCATCCCAAAACCATCCCTCTGCCCCCTGTCCGTGGAAAAAATCTGTCTTCCACAAAACTGGTCTCAGGTGCTAAAAAGGTTTAGGACTGCTGAACATGATACTGTTCATGATACCTTTGGTTTGAAAATTAACCATTGGAGGATATTACAGGATACCAGGATAGGAGACCAAAAGGGACCACAGTCAACAGCTGCATTTACACTTGTCCTAAATTTCAGGCTATGTGAGTGCTTAGTCATTAAGTTGTGTCTGACTCTTTGTGACCCCATGGACTGTAGCCCACCAGGCTCCGCTGTCCATGGGATTTCCCAAACAAGAATACTGGAGTGGGTTGCTTTTTCCTACTCCAGGGGATCTTCCTGACCCAGGGATTGAACCTGAGTCTCCTGCATTGGCAGGCGTATTCTTTACCACTGAGCCAGCTGGCTGGGAAGCCCCAAATTTCAGGCTATTAGGTTGAAAACCTTAGAAGGGAAAATGAAGTTGGGAGAGAACATATACCCTCCCCCTGCCCCAGAAAGAATCCATAAGAAACATTACTTCTGAGAGTACCTTCACTTACTGACCCTGGGAAGTGGGAGACGAGAGCTAGAAAACCTTCCTTCTCTTGTGTTTTTGGGCTGGCTAGCCATACCATGATTCCTGCTGGGCCTCGGCAGTTCAAACCCCACCCTTCCTAACAGGTCAGAGCTCCTACCCTCCTTCCTCCGAGTACTTGTGGGCAAAGGACAGGATGTCTGAGGCTCGGCCGCTGCCATCGCAGACCACCACGGGGACCGGGGGCTCTTCTCGGAGATATTCCAGGACGATGGAAACCACGTTCGGGCCCCCTTCCACCACAAGGCCCACAAGGGGCACACCCTGCCCCAGCCCTGCAACACATACCACATCCAAGTTCAGACCACTGTCAAGGCCCCATCTGACCCCTTGCTCTGTCCCCTGAAACATGTGGAAGAGGGAAACCCTTAGGCCTGGACGGGCACTTACAGAGGGTTAGTTTTCACTGGGAGAGTTGAAGGCCCTCAGAATGTGATTACTTCTTTTATTTAAAGCCCACATCATAGCCTTATTGGAAAAAACAGAGCCTTAAAATGACGAACTTAACAACATGTATGTGATTCAACTGTATGTATCACTCACGTGGCTTACAAGGTGCCTCAAGGTGAGATGCGAGAAACATGGAAGATTCTTCTTGCTAAAAGAATACCTCCCTGCTGCCCTGTCCTGGGTGATGTTCCCACTCTGGGTGGCTGTCCCTTCAAGAATGACACTGCAGACGGTATCTGGACCAGTGATAGGAGAGCTCTGTTCTATAATACCAGCCTCACGTGAATTGGCCTTATGACCTGGGACCAGTCACCAGGCCACCCTGAACTGCAGCAGACCGTCAGTAAGAGGTGAATCACCCCAGGGCCTCCTCTACCTCCTGAAGGAGCAATGGATGTAAAGTATAAGAAACTGTGAGGCTGTCAAATCAAGGTGTTCTGTCAACCTCAAGTGGTGTTATGAATGTGCAGTGTTGTTATAGTAGGTATAGTAGCTATTGATTAGCCTCCAGTGCCTGGAATAGGCAGTGAGTTATCTAGGAGGGCAAAGCCATGGACCATTATTAGCTCCCCAGTTAATAACTTGTTCCCATAAAGAATCATATATATATATGTGTATACACACACACACACACAACTTTGTTGTACAGCAGAAATTAACACAACATTGTGAATCAGCTATATTTCAATAAAAATATACTGATTAAAATTGTTTCCACAAACATCATATATATATGTGGAATCTAGAAAATTGGTAGAGATGATCTTATTTGCAAAGCAGAAATAGAGACACAGATGTAGAGAAAAACCAAGAGGCGGGGGAGTAGGATGAATTGGGAGATTGGGATTGACATATATATACAACTAGGTATAAACTAGGTAACTAACAAGAACCTACTGGACAGCACAGGGGACTCTACTCAGTGCTCTGTGGCGATCTGAAACATGTAAATCCATGGCTGATTCATGTCAATGTATGGCAAAAACCACTACCATATTGTAAAGTAATTAGCCTCCAACTAATAAAAATAAATGAAAACAAAACAAAACAAAAAACAAACAGAAAAGAGGGGACACATGTATACATATAGCTGATTCACTGTACTGTACAGAATAAATTAACACAACCTTGTAAAGCAACTTCACTCTCATAAAAATTAATTTAAAAAATAATAACTTCCCCCAGAGTCCTCCCTCTGCCTCTGTGAGATGACAGGACTCCTCTGAACATGGTAGGACAAGCCGACTCTGGTGGCAGAACCAGAAGGTGGGCTCTGGGAAGCAGGTGGTAAGGAGTGCCTCAAGAACCCAGGATTCTGGGTGGGAGGGGAGATAGTGGGAGTGAAGGAACAGCAAAGACCCATTTTCCTACTTCACAATTTTACCCTCAAACTGGCCAGGACAGACTATGTTCTGAGCATGTTTACCCAGTGTCTGTTTGTTGTGATGGGAGTTATCTGATCTCGGTGAATAAGGTAGTGAATAGAAGATCTGTCCTTGGTCTCATGGTTCTGAAGGACTTTGGATAGGAACTGCCAGCACAGTTGAAAGAAGGTCTAAGAACTCCAAGCAGGGGAATTGAGTTTCTGGTTTGCTTCCACAATGCATTTCTACAGTCAGTAATTCTTAAATATTTTGAACTTTTTTTTTTTTTGCCTGCACCTCAGGACATGCAGGATCCTAGTTCCCTGACCAGGGCTAGAACCCATGTCTCCTGCAGTGAAGGCATGGAGTCCTAAGTGCTGGACTGCCAGGGAAGTCCCACTGTGAACAGCTTTGCAATCTCCTACCAGAGTTAATCTCAGTTATATTCATTTCAGAAGCTATGTGTTGAGGGTCTGGTATGTACCAGGCAGATTTTCTAGCCAAGAGATGCTGGAGAAATGGACCAACCAAGAGATGTTGAAGAAATGGACCAAGACTTTGTGGACTTGCCCTTGAGATTTTCAACCTCTGCAAAGCTTGACATTTGAGATCTTCAGGACTCCAGGGACCCAATCACCTTCTTTTCTAGAAACAGAGGAGAGCTGGTTCTTCATGTTGGGGCTGGACTGCTGAAGCTCCGTGCTGTGGGAGGTGACGACTGAGCACCCCTTTGCTGTCCCTGCCCCACTCAGAACCCTGGGCAAAGGATGACAAAGGGAAGCCCACAAGTCACATGGCCAGGGGAGGCTGGGCGGCGTGAACACGCACATGGCCAGGACAGCACAAATGTGAGAGCCACCAGCCAGGCCGCTGCTCCTTGGAAATCCACTTAACTTTCCATAGCACGCTGTCTCATTCCAACCACACTGCAGCCCTACAGATCCTTTAATTATGATTTACAGTGACCATTTCCCAGGTCTAGACTGTCTTTTGCAATCTTACCAGTAATGGTTACGACAAAATACCCTTTAAGATCATTTGACCATTGTTTGACATTAAGAATCACTGGAGTTTAAACAGTCACTTTACTGTACAGAAGAAGTCAACTTAGCATCGTAAATTAAATATACTTCAATAAAAATAATTTTAAAGTAACTATAGTCATTACAAAGAATGAGAACCACCGACAACATGGTGGGAAATGCCGTCACTGTGACAATGGCTGTGGAGCTGTTTCTCGGGTCCAGGCTCCTTGTGAACTTGGGGCAAAGCATCCTAGTGCAGTTCAAGGAGTGGGATTTGGTCAGTGGCCAAGGGAAAGGGTCTTGCTATGGTCGAAGAGGAGTCAGGGGAAGGCTGTAAATGCCTGCGGGCAGTCTCTTCTCCAGCCTGGTTTGCAGGACAGCCCCAAGCCCATGGAACAACTTACTCGTGTTGATCTTCTGCAAAGAAATGTGCTTCTCTAGCTGCCGTCTCAGCATCACCTCGGCCCCATACTTGCCCAGGGTGCCATTGTCGGCCAGGATGAAGTGCGTGTGTGAGTTGTTGAGCACGGAGAGCTTACTCAGGGGGTTGGACATGGTCTGGTACACTCGTGTCACCTGATGAAATGCACAGCACAGGTCAGAGCTGCAGAACTTTGAAAATAAGACTAACAGGAGAAGCAAAAACACTCGGATGTGGAGCTGCGGCTTTATCTAATCGTGCACTTCAACCTGCTCTGCCTTCCCTAGCCTCTCTATTGAAAGTTTTTTTTGTTTTTTTGCAATTTTCATATAAAGGTAGAAAAAATACTTTAGTCATGACAACATAATATCTTAATTCTGCGATTAAAAAATTTTTTTTCATATTTTGACCACACCTCATGGGATATGGGATCTTAGTTCCCTAACCGGGGATTGAACCCACACCCTCTGCAATGGAAGCATGGAGTGTCAACCACTGAAGCACCAAGGAAGTCCCAACATCCCAACATTTTAGATCATGCCCTTCTTCAGGGGACCTTCCTGACCCAGGGATAGAACCTTCATTTCATGCATTGGCAGGCGGGTTCTTTACTGCTGAGGCACTGGGGGGTCAGTATCCTGCTTGAAGTCTTATATCATCATTTCGTAAGATGTTACTGCTGGGGAAAGGGGAAAGGCTACATGAGACCTCCCTTTATTATTTCCTACAACTGCAGGTGAAATCTACAATGACATCAAAATAAAGACTTTGCTTTTTAAAAATTGCACATCTCTGGGGAGAAAATACTTACATCCCTTCCAACCAGGTCTTCCTTGTTCTCCACGATGCCCCAGGGAGCAATTCCTATAGCACAGACCCGGCCTCTGGACTTGGAGGAGTGGTCCTTCAAGGCATCCCCCACGTGGCTGATGACACCTGTGAGCAGCCGTAAGTCATAATCGCAGGCCCCTTACCTCTCATCAAATCACTTTTCAGGAACTTTAGGGATCCCTGCTCTGAGCTGTTCCACTTCCTGCAGAACAGGGTTGAATCACTGAAAGTCTGAGCGCATAAAAACTAGTCATCCTGCATTAGCTCCTAGGAAAGGGAAAATAAAAACCAAAGCAACTGTACAGGAATTTTCTTTACAAGTTTCCAAGACCTAAGGATGGATGAAGCAAGGGTCTCCCTTTGTCTGCATTCAGATAAAGCTGAGAGTCAGACAGCCAGGTGTGTTTCTCAACCTCTCTGGGCCTCAGTGATGGGAAAAGGATTGTCAGAAACCTCAGTGAAAATGAGGCTTTGTCCAGTGCTCATGTCAAAGAATGGCACATAGTAGGTGCCAGAGATGTTGACCATTATCATGATCATACCAAAATAAATAGCAAGATACCACATAAAAGTTTCACTTCTGCCATAAATATTACTGTTACCAACCATGGTTCTTGCCCTTCCCCCATCAATAGAGATTGACTAGAGGCCAGACAAGATTCTGGCAAGACTTTACTGGGGTCCCTGCTGCAGCGGAGGTGGAATGAGAACAAACAACAGGTGCCTTTGCTTGCTCCCCAAAGTGGGGTGAGCTGGTTCCTTACATGGAGTGAGGATCAGGAGTGTGTCCAGGGGTGAGGCTGGAGGGGTGGCTTAGGTGTTTTGCCCACCTATTAGGTGGGGCTACATGCAGGGGGCAAGCATAATACCCTGTTTTTGCTCCTGATCCCCTGCTGTTGCTCCAGGCTTTTCAGAAGTGGCAGTTGTTTTTGTTTTTGTTTTCAGTCTCTTTGTATCTTTTGGGTCCAGAATTTGTCCCAACTGTGCATACACATAGATATTTTTTAGTCCCATAAAAATAACTTTATGAGACTCTCTCTTTAGTTCCTTTGATTTTGTATCTCAAGGAGAGGTGTGTCCAGGTGCCAGCACTGCAGCGAAGGGTCTCAGGACCCAGCCTGTCTCAATCTCAGGATGCAGCATGTTTTGTTTCTTGATCTTAATTATCCCAAAGCTCCTAGGGAACCACAGTGATCTTGGGGTCTGCACATTCACAGCCAGGGAGAGGGCCGACACTTACCCGTGCTGACGCCCCCGGTGAAGATCCAGGCCCCAGTGGTCATGGCAGCCTTGATCAGGCCTTTCCCGAAGACCTGCTTCAGCTTGGGCTGCATCTCAAAGTTCTGAAGACCCCCATGCACGGATATTAAGAGCTTGGGGAGCTCCAGCTGCCAGTCTCTCACCATGAGATGAAGCAGCGAGTCTGGCTTGGTGTCGTAGGAGACCCGGATATACTGCAAAAGAGGGTGTGGCCCTCAGCACCCTTTCTTGGGTCTGACTCTTGTGTCACTGTCACTCCAGTTCAAGTGACAGCCTCCTGCCTTTCTCTCTGGCAGGGATCTGGGGCCCTCTGTGCAAGTCCGTGGCCACACGATAGGAAGGAACACTGGAGGGTTGCCAGATTCAGCAAGTAAAAATACAGAATGCACAGCTAAACTTGAATTTTACATGAACAATGGAACATGTTTTAGTGTAAGTATGCCTCCTGCAATATTTGGGGCATCCTTAAAAATTACATGTTATCTATCTGAAATCCAAATGTAATTGGGAGTCTTGTATTTTACCTGGCAAACCTTATTTTTATTTTTTCATTGCCTTGTGTTGTGTGAGTGTTAGTCGTGTCAGACTCTTTGTGACCCCCTGACTGTAGGCCCCAAGTTCCTCTGTCCACGGCATTCTCCAGGCAAAAATACTGGAGTGGGTTGCGTTTTTCATTGCCTTAGGATGATTTATTTTGTCAAAGTTCCCAGCTAATTTTCCTAGTATCAGAACTTCTATAATGACAATAACTAATACTGAGAGTAAAAGGAATCCTGAAATTGTCCGAAACCAAAAGATAATATTATTAGCAAAGATTTATTTTAAATTATTTAACTAGTTTGTTAAAAATTATGTGCATTGCAAATAGGTTCATCTGTACCATTTTTCTACATTCCACATATATGCATTAATATATGACATTCGTTTTTCTGTTTCTGACTTATAGCAGAAAATAACACAATATTGTAAAGCAACTATACTCAAATAAAAAATATTTTTAAAGTACATAACCCCCCAAAAATTAAGTACTGTCACACACATGCACAAACGTCTGCAAATTAACAAATTTGTCAGATATCTGCAGAAAATTTGTAGAAAATGAAACCGAAGTTCAAAGGAAGCACATTCTAAAATTTCAAAGCAAAGACCATTTATAGTTCTAAACAACAATTGAAATACTTCTTCACTGTGTCTAGCATTCATAGGAGCACAGAAATTACTCCAGATTGATTTTATTTCTGGATACTTTTTGTTCATTGGAAACTTCTAGGAAATATGCCTGCTAGTTTTACAAAAATTTTAGAGCAATTTAGGAATTTATCTACTTTTAGTTAAAGCTTCTTAACAATTGGTCATTGTTGGGCTATATTCCATGTGCTCGTGATCAGTTGCTAAAGTGCATTGTTCAAGCCAGGGATTCTTCCAAGCCCATGGAAGAAAGTGAAATCCAGTCTACTCCGGTGATAGTCAACTGAAACCCCCTCCCCTTCCTCCCACCCCCCCCCAAATCTCAGTCTTCCTGGACCATCTCTCTTTTACTGTTGAATCAAAAACCTTTATAACAGGTCAAAGCTGAACGCAGTAAAGTTCTGTGCATGCTTGGGTGCTCAGTCACTCAGTCGTGTCCGACTCTTTGTGACCCCATGGACTGCAGCCCACCAGGCTCCTCTGTCCATGGGATTTCCTAGCAAAAATACTGGACTGGGTTGTCATTTCCTTCTCCAGGAGGTCTTCCCAACCCAGGGATCTAACTCGAGTCTCCTGCATTGCAGGTGGATCCTTTACCACTGAGTCACCAGGGAAGCCTATAGAACCGGAGGTGTTGGGGAGGGATAAATTGGGAAATTGCAGTTGACATTTATACACAGTACTATACATATAATAGAGAACTAATAAGGACCTCATGTATAGCACAGGGAACTTGCTCATGGTCTGTATGGGAAAAGATTATAAAAGATTGGATATATGTATATGTATAGCTGATTCACTTTGCTGTACACCGGAAACTAACACAACATTGAAAATCAACTATAGTCTGATAAAAATTTTTTTTAAAAAGGTCCCAAGCTGGCTCAGCTGGAATGTGGCTCCAGATGCTGGACAGGATGTCTTAGAGGGAATGGGGCTGGAAATGGGGCTTGTAACTGATCTTGGCGCTGGACCTTTCCCTCAAAGTGAAGAAGAGGTTAATGAGTCTATACACTGGCCCCTGTGAAATGCCTCTTTGTGTCCTGGCCAGTAGGCAGGGCGCCCTTCTGGAAGACCCAATGCTATGGTATTTGCTTGGGACACTTCTGAATTCTATCTGAACAATGATGTTGGACCAGTGAAATAGAATGAAATAGCAAAAATGGCCTGACAGGGACCGTGGGAGTATTATTCAGAATGGGCTGAAAGGGATCCCAGTGCTGCCGCCTCCCCTCTCTGGCAGGGCTCCTCAGAAAGGCAGAGGGCACTCCCTGTTTACATGCAGATGTGAAAAGCCTCCGTCTTCTTGTCTTCTCGGACCAGCTGAATGCCCGCCAAGGGAGGCTGGGCTTGGACTTTAGAGAGAAATATTTCCAGGCGCTCCTCACCCATGTAAGGGTGGCTCAATGCCCACAGTTATTTAATAGAAAAGACAAAACAAAGCCCCAAACAACCCTAAAAACCAAATGACATAATTCGTCTCTTATCCCTGGAGATGGAAGAGTATCTTTGCAGAGTCTGGCTGGACTGTGATTCTTGGTATAGATGTAAAAGATACTGTGTTTCCCTGGTGGCTCGGTGATAAAGAACCGGCCTACCAATGCAGGAGATGCACGTTCGATCCCTGATTCAGGAAGATGCCCTGGAGAAGGAAATGACAACCCACTCCAGTATTCTTGGGACTTCCCTGGCGGCTCAGACAATAAAGAATGTGTCTGCAGTGCAGGAAACCTGGGTTCAGTCCCTGGCGGAGGAAATGACAACCTACTCCAGTATTCTTGCCAGGCAAATTCCATGGAAAGAGGAGCCTGGAGAGCTACAGTCCAGGGGATTGCAAAGAATCAAACACAACTGAGCACAGCACAGCATGTGTTCTTTATCATAGTGCCCAGTTTCCAAATCTCATGGCTAAAAAGTGGAGTGTGCAGATATATTTCTTGTCTTTACAATAAAAACTCTAGGAAGATTGCATCACACCCTTAAGAAGACCCAGGTGTCTACAGTCTCAGAGTCTGGGAGGCTGGGCCTCTGATGGAGGCTGTGGCTTAGTGACACCCCTTCCCAAGGCCTCTCTTACCATGGCTTTGTTGGAGTATCCGCCGCCCTGGAATTCGAGAATCCCATAGGAATCTGTGGGGTAGCTCTGGGTATGTTTGCCAACAGACCATTTTTCAGGTTGAACTTCCGCCAACTTGTTTTCCTCTCCATTTTTGCTGGCTGTTACACTTGGCAGAGGGGGGATGTGTTGGTTGGTGAGCTGGCCACAGCAACACCTGAAGACAAAGACAAAGACAAGGTTGGTCTTTCTAGAACATTCTCCTCCTTATGATGCCTTAACCTCAACAGAAGCAGACTAACACCTTCCTCATCCAGTTTTACTGGGGACAGAAATACCCCTTATGGTGTCCTTTACTAGATAATCAGTGCATATCTATTTCCATGCCAGACTATTTTAAACACATTGGATGACTGCCCTGCCTTACTGCACACATCTTAATTCTTATTTTTTTTTTAAGGATTGTTGTATTTATTTTAAATTTTTTATTTATTTATTTTTGGCTGTATTGGGTCTTTGTTGTTGCATCCGGGTTTTCTCTAGTTGCAGTGAGCGGGGAGTACTCTATAGTTATGTTGAGGACTTCTCACTGCCGTGACTTCTCTTGTTGTGGAGCACAGGCTCCAGAGCACAGGCTCAGTAGTTGTGGCAGAGGAATTTAGTTGCCCCACGGCATGTGAGATCTTCCCAGACCAGGGACTGAACCTGTGTCCCCTGCAGTTGGCAGGCAGAACCACCAGGGAAGTCCTTTAATTCTTTTTGGTGTCTTGACAACATGATTATGGCCACCAGTCACTGAAATTCTGTGACAAAGGACACTCACTCTCCACCCACCCCCCATAAAGAGTTGACCCTCAAGGATTTTTCAATGAATTCTTCCATTGCTTTAGTAAAACATTTCTCTACACAAGTTGACATTGAAAGTGTATTTGTTCTGTTGCTCGTACTTTTGGTGTCAATTCAAAGAACCATTTGCCAAATCCAAGGTCATGAAGATTAACTTCTATATTTTTGTCTAAGAACTTTATAGTTTTAGCCCTTATATTTGATTTGTGATGGATTTGGAGTTAATTTTTATATGTGGTGTGAGGTAGCGGCTTAAAGCCATTCCTTTGTACCTTGATGTCCAGTTGTTTCAGATCATCTGATGAAGAGACTAATCTTTCCCCATCAGGTTAGGTAACCTTGCCGAAAAATCACAGACAAATCATAGACAAGTGGGTTTATTTCTGGACTCTCAGTTCTATAATATTGGTCTTTATGTCTACCCTTATTCCAGTACTACACTACCTTGATTAGTGTAGAACTGTAGGAAGTTTTGAAATCAGGTAACATGAGCTCTTCTACTTTGTTCTTTTTTATAAGATTGTTTTGGCTGTTCTGGATCCCTTGCAATTCCATGCCAGTCAGCTTGTCGATTTCTATAAAGAAGTCAGCTAGAACTCTGATAGGGATTACATTGAATCTGTAGGTCATTTTGGCTGTCTGCATCCTGACAGAGAAGTTTATAGCCCAGGTGACTCCCTGCTTAATGACTCACATGGAGACTCGGTTCTGGGCATCCTTACTCCTCCTCCCTCTCCCTCAAACACCAGAATAGCTGCTGGCAGCTGGTGGACAAGGGCTATTTTGAATAACGTCTTAATTATGGCTTCCAATTTACCTGTTAGGGTCTTTTGTGCTGGGAATGACAAATATACATTCTCGTTTGCAAAAGGTTTTTTCTATCCAAGCTTTCTGTCCCTAGAAGAGGAAAAAAGTGGACATTAGACCGAGATATTCCCAAACCAACCTCAGAATTCATTATTTTACTTTTATAAAATGAATAGTAACAGGGAGTCTGCCCAAAACCTCTGAATAAACACCTCTAAGAACGGTGAATGCAAGCCTTTCAGAGTCTTAGCTCTGGTTCCTTTTAAGAGAAATGGCTCAGAATTATGCTTTTGTGGTTTCCGTAGGGCTAGGAAACCTGTGCTTTGCATGAAAATCAAAGTCTACAGAAGGGGAACGATGGTGCCCCTAGAGCCAGCCAGTGCCCTGCAGAGCCTGGTATGGACCTGAGTTATTGGAAAAGCTGACAAAATTGTCCAGTCTCTGATTAGGTCTTTGTTTTGTTTTGTTTTTCCTTAAGATGTGTGTGTGTGTGTGTGTGTGTGTGTGTGTGTGTGTGTGTGTGTGTGTGTGTGTGTACCATTTTTAAAGTCTTTATTGAATTTGCTACAATATTGTTTCCACTCACATTTTGGTTTTTTGGCCACAAGGCATGTGGGATCTTAGCCCCCGGACCAGAGATGGAACCCATGTCTGCTGCATTGGGAGGCAAAGTCTTAACCACTGGACCATCAGGGAAGTCATTCTGATCAGGTCTTCAATTTGCTGTCAAGAATCTGGTCTTCTCTAGATTCCCAGGCCCCATTGCACTATAGTCATTTTATAAGTAATGTTTCTAACTGGTGCTCAGATTCACCAACTGTTATTTTTATAATTAAAAATATTGAAGATTGTGAAGAACTGGGTCCTCATGTAACATTGATACTGGGGCTGGAAATTGGTACATTTACCATCAAGGGTAATTTGGCAATCCTTTGCTGCAGTTACAAAGCTTATATGTTTTCACTTGCCATTTTTTAGGATTTTATTCTACAAATATGCCTGAACAAGCTGACACAGGCCCAAGGCTATTTACTGCATCACTGTCTGTGATATCAAAAGGCTGGGAGTCACCTACTGCTTATCAGTAGGGGATTGTTACCCGAATCATAGGATAGTCATCGACACAATTCTTTGAGAAAACAAAAAAATTTTTTGAAAGAGAATAGGATGTTCTTGTTCTATCAATAGGGAAAAATCACTGAGCTATGGTAAGTGACAAAGCAAGCCACAGGATAATTTCTAGAAAACAGACACCATGTATGGAAATGATATCCCAGGAGCAGCTGGAAGTGGCTCCCCCAGGGGGAGATCTAGAGGCCTCAGGGACCTAGGTGGAAAGGAGGTGCCCAGAGCCTGGTGCCCTGCTCAGTTTTTTAAAGATTTTATTTTTTGTCAAGCTTAGTGAAGTAAGCCATAAAGAAAGACAAATATCATATGATATTGCTTTTATGTGGAATCTAACAATGTGATACAAACAGACTCATTTACAAGACAGAAAGGGACTCACAGACACAGAAAACAAATGTATGCTTACCAAAGGGGAAAGGTTGTGGGGGGAGGGATAAATTAGGAGCTCGGGATTAGCAGATGCACAACACTATATATAAAACAGATTAATGATAAGGACCTACTGTATAGCACACGGAACTATACTCAATATCTTGTAATAATCTATAAAGGAAAAGAATCTGAAAAAGAATATATGGGAATTCCCTGGTGGTCCAGTGGTTAGGACTCAGTGCTGTCACTGTGGGACCTGGGTTCATTTCCTGGTCAGGGAACTAAGATCCCACACATTGCACAATGTGGCCAAAGATACATAGATATAGATACAGATAACTGAATCATTCTGCTGTGCACCTGAAACTAACACAACATTGTAAATCAACTACATTTCAATTTAAAAAAACAAAAAAATAAAGACTTTATTTTTTTAGAGCCATTTTAGGTTTACAACAAAATTGAAAGGGTGGTACAGAGATTTCCCATAAACTCCCTGCCCATCTTTATCAACGTTCTCCACCAGGGTAGTGTATTTTTTACCAAAATCGAACCTACAGTGACAAATCTTCACCACCTGAGGTTGATAGTGTGTGTTATTTTACTCTTGGCATCATACAGTCTATGGTTTGACAAATTAAAATGACTTCTATCCACCATTATAGTATCATACACAGTATTTTCTGCCCCCAAAATCTTCTGTGCTCTGCCTATTCATCCCTCCCTCCTCCTAATCTCTGGAAACCACTGAATTTTTACTATCTCCATAGTTGCACCTTTTCCAGGATGTTGTATAGTTGGAATCATTGCTCTAAAGTCCTTTTAGATTGGCTTATTTCACTTGCATGCATGCTAAGTTGCTTCAGTCGTGTCTGACTCTGCGTGATGCTATGGACTCTAGCCCTCCAGGTTCCTGTATCCATGGGGATTCTCCAGACAAGAATACTGGAGTAGGTTGCCATGCCTCCTACAGGGGATCTCCCTGACCCAGGGATCACACCCGTTTCTCTTACGCCTCCTGCACTGGCAGGCAGTTTCTTTACCAAGCTGAGTCACCTGGAAGCCCCTTCTTTCACTCAGTTGTTTGCCTTTAAGCTTCTACCGTGCCTTTCTGACAGATAACTCTTTTTTTAGTGCTGAATAATATTCCATGGTCTGGATGTACCACAGTTTATTTACCTATCCACCCTCTGAAGCTGGTAGCATCTAAATTGTGTCAATTCCAAGTAAAGATGCCATAAACATCTATGTGTGGTTTTCTGTGCGGGTGTAAATTTTCCCGTTTAAAAATCTGAATGATGTTAATGTATGACCTTGGCGTGTGGCCATCCTTCAAGTGTGCCATAGACCCTCCAGGACCTGTGACTAATAAATCTTATTCCTCCAAGTTCCCTTGGTCTTGGCTGCAGTGTATTTGGCAATCAGAATAAGAACCACAAGGGCTAGGGCAGCCACGTTAGTCCCAGAGGGGTGAAGTCTGTGGGGCTCCTTGCAGTGAGGCCTGGGTGAATGCCCTGGGCATGCCTAGCTGGGAGCTTCACTGTCCACAGGCTGAGACCAACATGGTTACACAAAGCACAGAGCTCAGGAGACTGGGGATCACTGGGGATCATCGGCTGACCACGCATGCTCACGTATGTACATTTATTTCCTGGCTCCATCCACCAAAAGGGCCTAAAAACACTCTGACAGAAATCAATATACTTAGTGTGCAAATATTTGTTTCTAAACAACATTCTCCACTAAAAAAAGCCAGGGCTCCTAGGACAAATGACTGAATACAGATCTGGGGCAGAGAAAGTACAAGAAGAGCTTGGAACATCTTGTGCCAGAAAGTAAGGAAGTGTTTACTTTCCACTTGGGAACTTGTCAGAAAACACAGAACCCTCTTTGAAAGGGCTCTTGCTGGCTTTATCTGGGATGTGAGCCTGAAACTTAAATGATCACAATAAAGAACTGTAACCCTTTGGCTGAAATAAGGACCTATGAACTCACAATGGCATAAATTTATACATAAATAAATATATAGGGAAGATGGGAAAGCTCTTTCTTGCATTTCTTAGTCACCCTCCCAATGTAGGGGGCCCGGGTTCCACCCCTAGTCAGGGAACTAGATTCCACATGCCACAACTAAAGACCCGGGACAGCCAAATAAATAAATATTTAAAAAAATAAATAAAGAAAACCAACATTTGGGGCAACCGTCAAGAATCTTTGATGAAATCTACATGCCATGGGTAAAGGATTAAAGAGTAACAGTACACTTACATAATCTCATCTCCCACAGATATTTCTTAATCACAAAGGGGAAATGAGTAACCTGACAGGTTGGAGAAATCTGGTGAATACCACCTAAAATAAAGTGAGCTGTCACCAGCAATGAAATCAATATTCACCATGAGCCTCTAGATGAAATGCAGAGAAGAAAAATTGCCTAAAATACAAAATCTGAATCTAATAGGGAGGAAACTTTAGACAACCCAATTGAGGAGCATCCTGGAAAATAACTGAAATCACTGACCTTCAAAACTCCAAAGGCCATGAAAGACAAGGAAAGGCTGGGGAACGGTCACAGGAGCTGTAGAGACATGACCTTGGGACATCCTTCAGTCTTTTGCCTCATCTTTGGCCCTGCTCCCCAGCCCCGCCCACCCTTTCTGGCTCCTACCCTCTGATTCCTCTCCAGGTCCTACTCCCTCTAATGGCTCACGGACCCTTCCTCCCAGTGCCCCCACCCCACTCCTGCATAAGAAACCAACAAGTGGGCCCTTCACAGAAAACTGTTAATAACCAGGTGTGGGAAATCAGGGGAGCTTCCCAGGTGGCACAGTGATAAAGAATCCACCTGCTAATGTACAAGACTCAGGTTCGATCCCTGGGTTGGGGAGATCCACTTGACAGCAGGGGATGGCAACCCACTCCAGTGTACTTGTCTGGGAAATCCCATGGATAGAGGAGACTGGTGGGCTACATACAGTTCATGGGGTCGCAAAGAGACGGATGTGACTTAGACAGGGCACACATGCATGCATGCACGTGGGAAATCAGAAAGGCAGGATCTAGCCCCTTGGACAACTAGGCTCAGGCCCCTGTCATCACAAGGGGGACAAACCATCTGCCCTGCAGGGTCTCACATGCTGAGGTGAGTAAGGAACTGGGACGGCAGTAACAATGCCTCAGACATATTCACATCTATTCTGTCACAGGCAGTATTCAAACGCCCCCACCACCCAGCGACCTCAGGTGCCCTTCCTGCAGGTGCAGGGCATCCGTGGACCTCTGGGGGCATCAGCCTGGCACCTGCTCCCCCAACTCAGGAGGGGGCTTTTCAGAGCGCCCAGCACTGACTCTGCTTGTAGCCATGGGCGAGGGCAGCAGCTGGCATCCACACAGCTCCAGGCTCAACCCACTTCCCTCTGCTTCACCAAAAATCCATTATTTTTCTAATGAAAAAGCTAGCATGTGATTACCATGTCTTCCCTGAGGAAAGAAAGGCTTTGCTTTAGTAGTAACTGAATTTTTCTTATTCCTTTTTTAGTTTAGTTAGGGAGTTCCGAAATTCCAGTTACTGCTTGTTGTTGTTCAGTCAG